CGGTATGCTCTTGCGCATCTAGCGTGACGTCACGTGCGAACAAAACCACAGAATATAAGAGCAAAATTACGATGCTTAGATCGACAAATCACAAGGTTAGTTGACAAATCATACTGATTTGTGTAGAGATCCTCGCGTAAGTTATTTCTGGGATTTCGTGATCGTATGAAATAAACTCTAACCAAAAACATTGGCCCTAAACATGAAATGCGGCTGTTTCAGTAAAAATTATATATCAATTATTATCAAAAGATCTAATCGCTCCTCCGTGTCCCTTTTATTTTGATTTTCATTATTACGCGGTAGTTTTAAAGTAGGTAAAGCATCAGGTTTCAAACATCCGCTGTTTTTAAAAGTAGGTCTAATTAAGGAGTCGTTCCCTTGCGGTGCTTCAAAACGGCTGGCTTCAAAATGTTCATAACAAATACAGGATATAGGATTAAACAGCAATGGAAAGACTTAAACACACCACTTAATAATAATGCAACACCATTTTTCAAGGTAATTTTGCCCTTACGACGACTTGCAACAATCCATTTTAGAGAAAAGTCTTCAATTTTCGGAAATCGAAAGTACCTATTTTATTTCCACACACAACCTGGCATTTTGGAATTTTCACTAATGATTACTTAGCTATCAACAAATTAATGCTTAGCTATCAACAAATTAACGCTATAAAACTCGTAAATACAACTGAAAAGGTGCAAACTGTCACGCGCGACATCTGTACTGGATTTTTCCGTGCGTAAACATTTGAATTTTGGCGCCACACGTTCGCAGGTGACGTAATGCGCAGTAGAAAACGCGTTTGAGAAAAATAATGAGCATACCGTGTGTAAGTGTATCGTGATTGCTACTTTTCTATATCTAGGCTTAGACTACAGTGACTTTATAAGGACAGTGGCGACAACTTATCATAATCCGCCATATTGGAGCTAAAAAATTGATTGTAAGATCAATATACCTTGTCATGTCAAATTGTGAGCGTAGAATAATAAATGTCAGTTTCATTTAAGTAAAGATTCTTGTTCAAAACGAACGGCGCAGAAATGATCGTTTAAAGCTTTGCAGAACAACCTATGGGAAAACAAATGCCTCCCAAATTCAAAAAGGTATGGGTATATGGAAAACGGTATAATAAGTATGAAATATGGTGCAATATCCAAAATGTACATATAAATAATCATTAAATTGTGTTTGACATTTCAGTGTCTTCTGTCACTTCTTGTCCCCTGTCGCGTGTTGCTCCTTCCGGACTTAAAAGTATTTCTTTAGTCTCTTAAATGGAAGACAAAACACGTTGATCTAGTCCACGGAGTACAAGAGATCAATATTCCATGTGCTCCAGCAAACATGAAACCAATTCAAACGTATTTACGATCACAATTGAATTTGCTGCTAAATTTCGGATAAGCTGCTTCTCTAACCAGTTTTCTATCTAAACTCATTAGGTATTTAGGGCTTCTGAAAAAAATTTTACATCAATTACCAGTCGTAAGGTTAGGCACAGTTTTACATCTAAAAACACTAAGCGGATTACATACCTTATAATATCGTAATAAATCCAAACTATATGCGTCTTTAAAAATCGAGTTTATATAAAACTGGAGACGGAAAACGTAAAATAAAGCAAATACAAGAAGCAAAGTGTAAACTAGTAACATGAAGCCGTGACAATTACAGGTGACACTGTCAAAACAGTATAATTAATAATTATAGCACGGAGTGTACCGCGTCGTTTTGAAGGTTTTCTATTGGCCAGTTTGGAATTTAGCTCCAATATGGCGACCGGAACCAACGACCAATCAAAAACGAGATACCCTGTTGTCGCCACTGTCTCTATAAAGTCACTGTACCTTAGACCATATAGTACATGGACTGCTATTCGCCCTATGCTTTCAATACAAAATGGGTGGTCACGAATAGAGGGCACTGTAGTCGTGGGTATGTGAATCTCAGGGTAAACTAAAGTCGTGTAAACACCACTAGGATCGCTTAAAGAGCAGCTTTATAGCAACCGCGTAGTACGGGAAGCTTTAAATACTCTTCATTATTTACTATACGTCCACAAATAAGAATAAGTTTGCTTTTTTTGGGATATCTAGGCGGTTAATTAATTGACGTTTGTTAATTTATAGGTTGACAGTCTCAAATCGTGTCTAATCGGACAACTTCGGACAGACTCGTTTACCCTGAAACTCACATACCCAGGCGATGTCCTTGACCATATTTTAGTTACAATTAGCAGTCCATGTACTATATGGTCTAAGATATCTAGTGACTTTAAGACTTGTTTGTTTAAAGCGACATCTCTGTAATAGTGACTATACTGTAGTGAAAAGACCATTTCTTAAAAATTCCTTCTGAAAAACATTTTTGTGTCCTTTGGCCACAATTCATTCGATACATTGATACAATTGTGCCAACAACAAAAAAGTTTCTCGCGTGGTGAATTTTGCTCTGCGCGGATAATTAATGTGCGATATTGTGGGGACTGTTAAATCTACACTAATACCAGATAAGGCATTATATACTCATAATTGGAGGCGCATATCATTCTAGTTTAAGACACCGAAAGAATTATAATGATATGGTTCCTAGAAACAGAAATATGATGGTGGAAATACAGTGGCACCACGCTCAGAAAGTCCCTGACAGGGTGTGTCCGAGGGCACTAGAAATTTAGACCGTACATTCTGATGCAAAATTTAAAAACACTTTAAGGGAATTACATACCTTATCACCTGTCAGATCGTAGATGCAAGCTATATGCGTCTTGAAAAAGACGATTTTGTATAAAACTGGAGACGGAAATCGTGAAATAAAGCCAAATACAAGAAGCAAAGTGTAAACTAAAATAACGTCAAGCGTCAACTGTCAAAACGGAATAATTAATAATTATGACGCTGAATGTATCGCGTCGTTTTGCAGACTTTCTATTGGCCAGCCTGAATTATTTCAAAACTAGTTCGCATATTTTCCGGGACTTTTCTGAGCATGGTGGCACTGTATAGAAAAACACGAATTTAATATCGTCGTTTTATCTTCAAAGACTTAAAATCTTAAAATTAATTATTTCCAGTGTTTCTAAAAATTAACAAACACCCGAATTTAATTGCCTGTACCATTGACCAACTCTCATTGAAATTTTGTGGCTCTATGTTCAACGGATCCGGAGAAAAAAAATATATTTAATATGTCCCGAATTGACTCCTAAGATCATGTGACTGTTTTGAGCGCTCCGTCCTAATTCGTAAGCATAGCGCGCTCGTCTCCGGTAGTGATAAACAATTAAATTAATAATTGTGGAGATATTTTCATAAGATGTTACTATGTTCAAAATTTACATTAAACAAAGCAGATAACAAAATAAACTTAAATAAAATATAGAAAAAATATTTCAACTAAAATTGTGCTACACTTCAGGGCAACTTACGGAAATTGGACAGTTATGAAGATATATCGACAACTTCACAACGATCTTCACACGCATTAACTCTTCGAGCTCAGTCAACGTCGTGCCTGGATTTGAATACTCCCACCGACATCGATAAATTACGAAGTTTACTTCCATCATACAGACAGGCCCCAGACTATGAAACTGCGGTCCAACAGAAATATCGCAACTCATCAAGTGCAATTCAAAATCGAGAACCTTTACACAACACTCACGCTATTTTGTACAGTTCACAACCAGAAATACACCAAACCGATGGTTACTCCTCCCACCTGTGTTACCCGGATGTAACTCACAATAACATTGAGCAGAAAAATTTGATATCCACACTTTACAGTGCACCATACACACAATCACAAGGCATGGTCAATTTAACCGAAAGCATGGGACTTTTACACCTTTATAAACCTCCACCCCCATACCCGAGCAATAGAATTAACTCAAATTCTACTCCAGATTTAGCTGGGCTTACGCAACAACACAACACTCAAATTAGTTACATTAATAACATTGTCTCCGGATCTAGTCCTGATTTAGTATCAAATGGAAACATCATCAATCAGCAGTATTTAAAACAGTACGGTCAAGCGCTTTACCCACAGCAACAAACTGATCCCGTCCATCGATCGCACAGCTACCTATCTGCACCTCAAGGTACATATAAAAACTGAACGCAATTATTTGAAAGTAACCTTCTAGGACTGCCCCAAGCTGTAATCGTCGATAATCCAAATGTAACGAAACATATTAAAAAGGTTTATGACGAACATGGCAATATAATCTACTGTATGCCCGCAAATATGAAACAAATACTGCAAGAGAATAAACTACCAAGTACAGGGTTCGTAGTAACACGCAACCAAAATGCGGTTGTCACACACGTTCAAGACTTGAATAACTCCTGGGAGCCAATCTACGAAAATATTCCACTCCCTTGGCAAAACGACGGTGGGGAAATGCGATCGCGTACCCAAAGCGTACAGTCGGCCCCAGAAATTAGTCAAATACTAAATCATACCCTAATAAATAACATGACGGCTAACATGCAACACTCAAATGACAAATCGAATCGAGAAAACCTATACGCCAACATAAACCGAAGCGGAAATAGTAATAAGTCTTCCAAAAATGATTTGGTCGGTAGTACCGGAAGCTTAATAAATCAATCGTCTTCGCAAAACTTGACACAAATTTCCACGAGCACCGCTTTTAGTAATAGTTCCACCGACACGTCCATGACCAAGATGAATAATACATTTACAGTTGGTAAATCGGCGATGAGCACTCCTCTACCGGAAAGTAACACCAGTAGTGAGATCATTAGCGATATCAGCAACAGCTCGGGTAACAGTTCAGGTAAGACAAAGAGGAAACGATGGGGTATCTTAATGGGCAGGAGTAAATCAAACGAAAAAGTGAAAAGTGCGACGTTGGGAAGAGAGAAAGAGAAAAACAAGGAAAAGAACCAAACCAACCGTCATAGGTGGTCGACAGGTCTACCGCGTTTGTATCCGTTACCACCTTCGATTAGTAAGGAAACAATGGTAAGTCAACCGTCCGCCGATCGACGGTTAATTGCGCCAATATTCTAGTGCCAAGTCTTAGAAAATAAGCTTGCCGATAGTCAGTTGTTTTTCGAATTTGACAAGATACCTAAGAAGAAGCAGAACGCCGATTTTACCACCGCCTTGCACCTCGACAATGCGAAGTACAATCGTTACAAGGACGTCTTGCCCTACGAAGATAATAGGTTAAGATTGACTCCGACTCGAGAAAATAAATTTGGATACATTAACGCGTCGCATATTACCGTAAGTAATTATTTAGGTAATGGGAGGCAAACAAATTTTTAATATACGCCACCTACTGGTTAAAATAGAAATTATAATGTTTCCGCCACCTTTATTTACAAGTTGTGGTGTAGGATTTGACAATTATGCATTTGCACAATCACAACTGACACCAGTTATCTGTATGAAAGCTACTCCATCTCATGTTGTTTAAATGGTAGGCATCTTCCAATTCCATTGTTGTTTCAAGGACTAATTTATTGTATGTGTAGAGTCTCGGTATCCAGTTTCTAGCATTGCATTTTCTACAAACAATTTATTTTCGATTTTCCAGGAAATTTGTCCGATAGGTATCCTCGGGTGGTTGTGCGTGGGTGCACTATCCTGTTGAAACCAATAGTTTACAACTTTTGTTTTTTTTGTGCCGTACATCCTTGTATTTGTAATAAAAAATACCACTCAATACAGTATGTACTTTTTTTCTGATCCATATAGAAAAATAAAGTTGATGATTTTCTCAAAACAAAACGTATTGAAAATCTATCAACAGTGTCATGAAGAACCCAAAAAGTGGCAACGAGTAAGTGTTTTTTATTTTTTGTATCTGTTCAGATGACATAAAAAAAAATAAAAGAAAGTCGGCAAATTTCGGCTTGTCTGGCACATCTTCGGAAGCAGTCGGAATTTTCTAGTTCGCTTTACAGCATGATAATTACTCTTTAATTGCGCACCTTTTCCCATCTTCGTATCTTGTATGGTTTCCAAGATCCCCATGATAGCCATCCGTATCTTGGACACAATGTATATCGTGTGTTCCAGGTTGAACGCACCATAGGCAAACAGAATTAATGTATTCGCGAAGTATTTCAATGTACCGGATGACCCAATAAGACTGTTCCTCGGCCATATCTCGAGAACCGTTCGTCATATGATATGGGGTTAAAAAAATGATTGGGTAAATCGGTCAAGAAGAATCGCTGGAAAATATTTTCAAGTTCTAAAAATGACCAACAGAGGGCGTAACTGCCATCTTAAATTTTAAAATTGCATTTTCTTTAAATTTCGCATAATAAACTAAAAAATTTCTTTTCACATTTTTCTTTACCTATTACCTATCATTTTCGTAAAAATTCAGTTAGAGTTCAATTGTTTTTGAAATAACCTGCTTTAACTTCTTAACTGTTTGACCGATTTTAACAATGAAAAGAGCATTCCTTGAGCAATGAAAATCAACCAAAATATAGTTAATAATAATAATAATATAGTGCGATCTTTTCTAAACTGGCAATAAAAATAACAATAGGTATCAGTGGTACTTGGTGTTCACGCCCGTCCATTGATGTAACTCCACAAAAGTGAGAAATTAAAAAATAATAATAATAATGACTTTATTTGGACACACTATGACAAATATATAAACAATACCAATATTACACATTCAACTTGGCGTCCAAAAGGCGAAGTTCACTGAGAGGCATGCAGCCCTTTGTGCTCTTCCACTTAACCCGTCCCGTAATTTAGTTGAATCCTTCTCCGCCAGGGGGGGCTAGTTTTAACACTATGACCCAAAATCCTAAAAAAATCAAAAAGAATGATGACTTTTTCTTTATGAAAAAGTAGCCAAATAACATCCAAAGAGGCCAGTGAAAACCGTTTTTCAAAATCTCAATTCCTAACCTCAAATATTGGGAAAATAAGATTAATTAATTAATTAATTAATTAAATTAAAATGCTTAATTTATATCTTAAATTTACTTTTTACGTATTTCCGGTATCTGTGGATGGCGCGAAAGAAAAGCACCTTACACTTTTAGGTAGGCCTTGGAAAATTAAACAAACGAAACATGATGCATTATACAATAACAACAGCCGTAATTTGTAAATTATTCTGCTGTGTTGACATTTAGAAAGTGCAGTTTTTTGAATTTGTAATTTTTTCTAAAATATCGATTTAACCAAGAAGCATTTAATATGCTGCCGATATATTTTGAGTATTTTTAAAATGCGACCATCGCTGCCGGCATCTTCTACTTGCGTTATCCGCATCGATAACGAACCATCGCCTCCAGCATATTAAATGCTTCTTGGTTAGAAATTGGCATTTTAGAAAAGATTACAAATTCAAAAAACTGCACTTTCTGAATGTAATCACAGAATAATTTACAAACTACGGCTGTTATTATTTTATAATGCATCGTGTTTCATTTGTTTAATTTTCCAAGGCCTACCTAAAAGTGAAGGGTCCTTTTCCAATCTTTCGCGCCATCGACAAATACAGGAAATACGTCAAATAAGATACAATTTAAGCATTTTTATGTATTAATTAATTAATCTCATTTTCCCAATATTTGAGGTTATGAACGAGATTTTGAAAAACGGTTTGACTGAAACTTGAAAATATTTTCCAGCGATTCTTCATAACCGATTTACCCAATCATTTTTTTTATCCCTAAGTCATAGAACGGTTTCCGAGATATGGCCGAGGAACAGTCCTTATTTCAAAGGCTTCTTGTATCTTTCGCGAAAAAATACATTGTCGTTTCCCTATGGTGCGTTCTACCTGGGACGCACTGTATGTAGTGAATAGTAGTAATGATGTAAGTTTATTCAAAAAAATTTCAGGCAACAGTTGGCAGTAAACAACGATTCTATATAGCAATGCAAGGACCTACGAAGCTTACGATACCACATTTTTGGCAATGCGTTTGGGAAGCAGAGGTATACCTTTTAGTGCAGCTCACTGAACTTTTGGAAGATATTAATTATTTACCAAATGCGGAACAACGCTGTATTGATGCTAGTCAGGTAGGTAGAAGGTGTTCATTAGGCTAAAGCAAATTTATTATTAATTTTAATCGTCATTGCTGTGTGTGTGTGTCTGGACAAATCAAACCGATCAGATTTTGAGTTTATATCGACATTAACCTCAAATTTTGACTTTTGCTGTGGAAAGATAACCTAAAAAGAATAAGGAAAGAATAGCAGTCTACTAGATTACTATGATCACGTTTGACTGAAAACTGAAGGATGTTAGGTTTTTCAATTTAACTCTCTTTCTATATTATATAACACATGAATCAGGTGAGGGTGGAGCCAAATACTTATACTACGGTATTGTGAGTCTAAGGGTATGGCAGTGTAGCATTTAAGTCTGTCCCCAATTTTATGTAGATGGTATTTAAACGGTATATGGCCTGTGAACAGCCCTGTAATGTATCCTAAGTCCTTCCAATTTAGGACTAAAGCTTCCTTGGCTTTTTGTTTGACCACTGGTACTGGCTTTTGGGATTTGGGTGCCTGGCGCACCTCTGGTTTCCCTCTCCGGCGGGCTCTTGGAAAGGGCGCTACTAGCCTTAGGCTTGCTAGATCCTTTACGCTTGATTTCCGCTTGTCCAAATCTGAAGCTGGCTCCGTATAATATTTTGAGCATTTGTTCTGTTACAACGACAACCTGTTCAACTTTTGATCCTTACTGCACACAAATTCATACAGTGGCACTAGATCTACCATAATTAACAACATAATAATAATAATTCTTTTGACTATAGTTGTCTGTTTAGGACTATCAAATTTGGTGGGAGTTCTCCCAAAAAACCGGCCATTGCATAACGAGTAAAATACGTCTGTGCCATGTTTCGTCGCGTCGATATAGAACTTTATGGCATCTTCATTATACCGATTGGGGCGAGCACGGCTGTCCACAATCGGTGTCACATTTCCTCGGATTTTTGGAAGAGTTACAGTCGGTACAGCAACACTCGTTAGAGGAAATACCACCGGGACACAACAAAAATCCTCCGGTTCTCGTGCACTGCACCGCAGGCGTTGGGAGAACTGGTTTGACAGTATTGGCAGATCTTTTACTTTACACGGTAGATCACAATCAGGTACGTTTTCTCGGATTGTACGAGTTAGTTCTGATGCTGTGTGTTTTTAGGAGGTGGATGTAGCTAGAGTCGTCGGTCTGTTACGTCACCAACGCCCATTTATGGTACAAACAATTGCTCAATATCGTTTCGTGTATTCACTTCTCATTCATTATTTAAAGCAAACTCGCCTTATATGAGTAATATGAGTGCCATGAACCAGTTATTAATCACTTTAATTGATTTGTCATAATCATAACAACGTACTTAAATTTTAAACATTTATTTATATGTATTTTAAAAAAGTATTAACACTGATGTGCGTTTTTAACATGATGTTTTGAAGTAAAAGAGGCTGTGTAGAATACTATATCACCATTTATGTTTTATTAACAAAATTTTAATCTATAAGCAATCAGCGTATGTGATTTTTTAGAGTGCCTTCTATATATTTTATTATGTATACCACGTTTTAATCTAAGAGTTATATTTAATAATTGTATCAAACGGAAATGTAAAGCATCGAGAGATCAAAATTTTAATTAATGCCAATAAAAATTGTAACTTCCTGCTCTATTTTTTAAGGAGATGGTTCGGAAAGAAAGGGAAAGTGTTTTAAACAGAGGTGACGGACGTTAATCGTGACTTTTTTGGTGGTTTGGGAGGACATTGAAGTGTAGCTGCTTATTGTTTTGGTGCCACATTTAATCGTATTATTCCAAGCAGTTTTGTAGAAGAAAGTCAGTCGAGTGCTTTTTTTAGTACACTGTTTAAAGTGAATATTTAAATTGAATTAAAGAAGTGAAGTTTACGAAGGAGTATCGGATCGCTCAGTTATCGCTTATGTGAAGCATTTCTTTAAGACATTCAAGTATCAGTTAAAGGGAGTTTTTTTCTACCATCAAAGGGCCAATATTACATCCGTAAGTGCAATAATTAAAGTAGAGAAGTGAAATTTCAAAGCAATATCGCCTGGTGTTTTGTGTTGGTGCGTCTGTTTATTTGAAAATAGCAGTTAGGATCGGATATTTTGGATTATCAACATTTGAAGGTAATTAATCAATTGTTTCAATCGATTGTGAGTACTTTCTTTATCATTCATGTGTGCTTCTTTTTCTTTTAACTTATTGATTGAATTTGTCTTAATTTGTATTTTATTGTCCAGATGTTCGCTGAAGATGACAGCCTTGCTGTCGAAACGCGTTCGAGGTTTTAATATATTATTGTGCTTTATTGGTGTTGGTCACAAGTAGTTCCAGTGTGTTTAATAAATTTGTTTCATCTGTAAATGTTCTATGTTGTGTTTAATCAAGCCCAAATTATGACCCAGATAAGAGTTCTCAATATAATTCTTTGGAATTGTGGAGTTAATCAAGACTGCTGAGTTTTCTCAGATTTGATGAATTATCGAGATTTTCGTAGTAGCGGGTGCTGGACGGTTAGATCTAGGGGAAAACGTACAATTGCGCATCGACGAGATGCGGGGTCCGAAGTCCCTCTGTTACACCCCCCTGGTTTTCGTAGAGTTTCGATAGAGGTCTCTAAAATTCGAGCAAAGTATGAGATATGTATTAAAACGGGTTTTGGAATGGATAGTGATCGATTTGACCCCGAATTTGAGCTTAGTTTTCTCATTAACCGTAATTCGTAAGTGGCTAATGTTTTATAATAAAAGTTGCAAGATTCGATGGGATAAATTCAATGGGTGTAGAAAAAAAATTTAAAATGGCGGCTTTCGAGGTATTGACATCAACTTTCTTATTTTAAATGGACGCCATATTGAATTTTTATGTCATTTGATAGAAAAAAAAATTACAAAATCAGCAATACTAATTGGGAATCAACCTTGCATTTTTGCCTCGAAGTTTACAGTGTATTTCTTATGGCAATAATTTCATGGCTGTGTCGATGGTGACTATGCGAGACAATTTGTTTTCAATCATAATCACCTGTGGAATTATTCTCATAAGAAATACATTGTAAACTTCGAGGGAAAAATACCAAGTTGATTCCCAAATGAAATACTAAGTGTTTGGTATCACTAGTTTTGTACTTTTTTTTTTGTATGGAATTACATTGGACCCCCCATAAGAAATAAGAAAGTTGATGTGATTTACTCAAAACTCACAAGTGATAAAAATGTTATTTTACCACCATCAGAAAGATGAGAAAAAATTACCAATAGTTTGTTAATTTTTTGATATTTTTGAAAATCAATGGACGCCACCGCATTTTCGAAAATGACGTTTTTCAGTTTTTTGACCATAACTTCGTTGTTTGTAGAGCTACGCAAACTCTGAAAGGGAAACTTTATCTACATGAAATTCTACAATTCTTTGTCTATTAAAAGCGACTTTATATCTCTTACGGGTTACGAGATCCCCGTACTAAACATCGGAAAAAACACCCTGTATATTATGCACACTATTTTTTAATTCTTTTACGTACTATTTATTTTTATTTGATCAGTTAATAAATTTTTGTAGATATTCTTTTATGCAAAAATACGTTCTGACATTTTCGTAATTAATGTATGCACAACTACAAAAAAAAATCGCAAAAGTATCAAGTATGCTATAATGTACGGAATATATAAAATTATTTCAAATTTGTAATTTTTTGCGAAGGAAAACTCGCGCAAGATCGCAGGGATGCGCACTTCCTCAGAGAAAATCAATACAGCATCCTTTTTTACATAATCTCTCTCTTACAATTTTCTCTCCTTCATAAAATTTATGTGTTTGTGTATTGCTATCAAAATTGGTTTAAATACGTACATACGAAAATGCCTGACACGGATAAAAGGCGTTCTGCGTTTATGGAAAACAGTTTAGCTGACCAAGCGCTACCAATTCCCATACAGATTTTTCTATGGCGACAAATAAGGTTTGTAGAATTACAAAAATTAAAAAATTAACACATATTTCTTTCAGTCCCTTTATAAGGCCTAAATTAGGCAAACTTCATGAGGCATCGTGTACGGTACGATATCAACTTCTTAGTGCGCATTTAAATTACCTACTTCTTTTTCAGTTTTGCCAACAAGCCCCACCAGGACATCACGTAAGTTAATGTTATACGTAAACGCTTATTTTTTCACTATATATGTCGCACGTTTAGGAATTAAAAGAAGCCTGCAAGGTAAGTAGCCCGGTTGTTATAACGTAAAAAATTACTACAGATCATGTGCAGTCATTTGAGAAAGTGTTGGTGCAAAATATCCAGTTTGGTTTAAAACCAGACTTAACTGAAGCCATCAGATCGATTCCCAGATGGCGGCTCATTCAAGCTGCTCTACCCCATGTAATGCACTGCATTGCAACCTTATTACACAATAAGTAAGACTCACTGTATGCCACTTGTACACTACAATTGTACGGTCTGCTATAGAATGAAAGATGGTACATTGCTCAATCTTGGTGCCGTGGAGACAAAGCTTCTATATACTCTCCACTGGATCATACTAGATGCGGCCGAGGAATGCGCCGATGCCGACTTCGAAAAAGGAACCTATCAAAGCTCAACGTTTTACTACTTATTTTCTATCCCAACCATATCAGTAAGCCACTCACTATTTCACTCACACATTGTAATGCAGCTTTCAGCTCTTTGTCTATTTATTCGCACCCATTTGCCACATGCTGAAGGAGTCCGACTTTCAAACCTTCCGTTTAGAGAACGGTCTAAAATTGTGGCAGGCAATGTGGGAATTTCGCCATCCCGAGACCACGTGCTTCACAGCTCACGTTAAGCCCAAGCCTAAAAGTTTGTTGGGGAAGAATAAATACCCGCACACGCAATTCGGAGACGTTTTCATTGGACGTAAGCAGTCTAGCGAAGAAATTAAAAGTCAGGGAAGTCCAAGTCAAGTTGATGATCAAGCCATGTTTCCTCCGCCTGGTGCTACAGTTACTGTTACGGCTACGATTACTACAAAAGATGAAGATGTAGGTATGTTTATGCAACTAATTCACACAGACTGGCTTTTTAGTGCGGTTGGGTTTCTTCGCCTAAGGATACTGTGTTTCCCGAAACGATACCGGAGGAGAGTTCCAGCACCGAAGAAGAGCACGTTGTTATTTTTCGTCTCCCTTCGCTTCACGAGTCTGATGGGTTTTTAAGGGATCCCTCTATCTACACTGTAAGCTAGCAACGAAGTGAGTTTTTCTTAAAGGTGCTTTGCTAGGCGGAGACGAGTCTATTTCAACTGGCCATGACAAAGAATGGTACAGGCCGGCCGTATTTTAAAGTTGAGCAGGTCACCGCAATTTCCGCATCTGACACGAAACAAGCTAAATCGACACCGACTTTGCAAAAATTTGGGTAAGTTTGCCACTTCCTCCAAACGCTGAGTTTACATCGCAAAAAATTCTAGGTCATTAACAGATAAAGATTCAATTGATAGCAGCAGTAAGAGACCATCGACCGAAGGTCCGATTGGCGAACCGCGAAGTTTGCACAAAATTTGGAGTGGAAGCCAAACGGGCGATTTGTCATCTGCGACATTTTTGGACGTGGCGGTGCTGCGATGCCTGTTTATATCGCACTGGCAGGAGGAGGGAATCTACTGGGCCCTTCATTACTTATATAATCGGTTCGTGTGTAAGTCGGCGCTTGGAAGTTTACGGGTTGCTTTCAGATTGCGGGATATTAGTGAAGAGATAGTCGGACAGCAACAGCCGCGCCGACGCAGCAATTCGCTTCCGATTCCTAAAATTGAGGTATCGGTCTACCAAAGCCCCGAATCAAAGAAACAAGAGATAAGCTTGGAAGTGCCAGAAGTTAAGGATTTATCATTGTTAACAGGTTTTCTTTACTGCACAAATGTTTTGATCATGAACTAAGCATTTTGTGTCTGTAGAATCTCCATACCACGGTCAAAAGTTACCAGAAGACAGCCCTAGTCATACAAGACGAGCAAGTGAGAAAGTGAAAAAGAAGATGAAAATGGCCGACCTCAAGGCATTTGTAGAAACGAAGCTTTTATCGAAGTCCGACAAAGCGTTAGAAAAAATAGGGCATGATGAACCAAAACCCTTCGGTGAACAAGTGGTGGGTGACAGACATATTAATTTATATGTATGTACCTATTCTATCCTCTTCTTGTATTTTTGCGCACTCTCTATTTCTTCTGTGGTGTCCATTTGGGATGTGTAAATTACGAGATTGAATTCTTTCTCACTTTTGTTAGGATTACCATCGCAGTTTGGATACGGGCGATGAGCATCTGTCAAAAACGCATTCGACAACACCAAAATTTTTTGAAGCAATTCCAACCAATTTGGTTAAAGGAAAAAGTATGCCTAGCTTAAGGTACGCTTCTCTAATCTGCCATCTACCTTTAATTACTTGTGGTTTGAACTATTGCATATTATTTCAATTTTATCGTTATGTATGGTAAGTGAGTAGAAAACATCTTCTTCACGTTAGTGTTGATCCTCAAAACTGCTGTGTTATTGTATTTCAGCATGATGTAAGAATCAAAAAATAAGAATCCTAAAGGTACCTTTACACTATCATACTTCTCATGTGATTTGTCATAATGATAAGTAACAAGCATTTGGATTTGTCTTTACACATACATAATAATATGGAAATAATACGTAAATCGTGGAATAGGGATGTTTCTATTTCTGCATGACAAATGACATGACTTATTTTAAATACCCAAGTGATCCCGCCCTTTTATGGTTACTTTTCGCATTTTGCTGTTGTACTTATCTGAAAAAGCTGAATACTTGAGTAAACCAGTAAACTTTTGATTATATCATTGATTATAGGTGTGTATAATCAATGATTATAGGTATAGTAGTTACTAATGAAAGAATAAATTACATAAACAATAAATCGAGCAATAAATATTTACGAGTATATTGGTATTTGGTTGCCTGGTTGTAGTGGTGTTTTCAGACACACATTGTCAAATAGTGTCTTGATTGGTAATTAACCCTTCAAATGTTTGGGGTAATCTTTCAAATAAGGGTACACTCATCCTTAATGTCGATCAAGGGGACGACTGTTTGCTTTGTTAATGAAACGCATACGGAGAAATTATTTTTAAAATAATTGTTAAACTTTTTTCGTTAAAAATGTACTATGATTTTTGAGGCACTTTAGAAGATCACCTTTTTGTGCTTTACAGGTGAGGTTTTTTTGAGTTCTAAGATAGGCCGAAGATACTTTTTTGTTGAATACTTATTGTGATAATTAGCGATTTATTTTAATACAGAAGTTAACCGCACAAAATTGCTTATTTGCCAATTTATTTAAAATTTTGCGGGATCCCGCAAATACAGGGTTCCCGCGGGATTAACATCTAACGATCCCGCAAATACCGGGATTGAGATTTTGCTGCGGGATTGCATTCCCTAGCTGTAACTTTTGAACTAGTAGCCCAATCTTGGAACTGTTTGAAATTATGGATTCTACAGGCCACGTTCTATAAGAAAAATTTTTTTCCGGGGCGATCTGAGACAATTTTTTTTTGACGCCCGAAAAAAAAGGCAGTGTACAACCTTCCTTTTTTACCAAAAATCGACTGCACCAAAATTTCTCGGGAAAACACTTTTTCTTATTAATTTTGGTGCGTAGAATCCAAAACAATTCGTACTTTTTCGATCAGACTTCTCAATCAAAAGTTATAGACTAGAAACCAATTTCGAAAGAAAATTCAAAGGGCTGTAACTTTTGAACTAGTAGTACAATCTTGGAACTGTTTGAAATTATGGATTCTACAGCCCACGTTCTATAAGAAAAATTTTTTTCCGGGTCGATCTGAGAATTTTTTTTTCGGGGCAAAAAAAAGGCAGTGTATAAACCTTCCTTTTTTCCAAAAATCGACTGCACCAAAATTTCTCGGGAAAACACTTTTTCTTATTAATTTTGGTGCGTAGAATCCAAAACAATTCGTACTTTTTGGATCAGACTTCTCAATCAAAAGTTATAGACTAGAAACCAATTTCGAAAGAAAAGTCAAAGGGCTGTAACTTTTGAACTAGTAGCCCAATCTTGGAACTTGGAACATTTTAATTTAGAGAAGTTATATAGGTTTCGTAACTTCTTGTATTAAAGACATATGAAAAACCTGTCAAGTGTAAAGTAAAACATTAAAACTCATACGAAAAATATGTTGGTAGTAAATATCATATAACATATCATATAAAAAATCATGTGAGATATATTATAGTGTAAAGGTACCTTAAGACAAATCACAATGAAATTTCTCAAAATGAAAGTACCTACAAGCGAGCTAATTGAAATTCAGGCAAGTTGTGATTTGGCTTATTGACTGTACAAGACTTACATATCACCTGTAGGTAGTGTTTTAAAATGATACGAACATCCCCCTAATAAACCATGACCTCCTTTGATGTCTGTATCAGTTATAAATGGGCTAAAGTTGTATTATAGTATACTTGCAACAGCTTTAGCTCGTTTGGAGGGGATTCTTGATCTAAGAATGCTTACTGCCTAGTAATTTTAGTCCCGCCCACTACTATCTCTTATCGTTTAGTGTTTTGTTTTGTATTTTCTTATACTATGTTCTGTCTCTCTTAGCTGTTTGATAGATGAGTTGACGGCTGGAGGGTAAGTGGCTGTGATCTCATATTCATGCTTTATCTGCAAATTTACAATTTTTGAAATAGTCATTTGCAGTAGGTACAATTTGCAGATAGACTTTCTTAACTTTTGTTAATGGCTATCTTGATCTTGGTTTCATACAAACTACCGCTGTAAACAATTAAAAACTGTTTGTATCAGATACATTGGTGAAATACATTGGGATCGGAGACGAACCAGCAAATCCGAAGCGCCGAATCGACGTACGATTAACCCAATCATTACGGTCACTGAGCATACACCGACGCCATCTCCTGATTTCTTACGAAGACAAGTAGGCGAGTTGAATTTGCTGTACCGGTCACCTGTCACATGAGTCGTAGGGTTCGATTGATAGTCAGTTGGATGCTATTAGCTTTGGCGTGGCGAAGCCTCCGGCACGTTGGACTGAGCGCAAAGCAAGTTTGACTAGATCGCAAACCGATTCTAACATCACGTACACTACAGAAGATATTCCAGAAGCTCCTGGTGCTTTCTGTTACATAACTAAAGATGGTGATATTGATATACAAGTCGTTTTAAAGGTAGATTCTTAATACACGTTTAATTTTCTTGTGTAAATAGCTTTTTACTCAAGTGTAATGCAGTAGGCGAGTGAGGCTAATTCATGGTAAAGTAGGTACTATGTTGCGTTTGGTAAGGAGTAGATGGGGGTTGACTATTTTTAGCGCATTTTCCAACGAAGTTGGGTGCGCTATTGCAGCCACTTTCTCTGTCCGTCCGTCTGTCCGAGGCCTTAACTACTCCTACAGTTTTTAAAATATTTAGTTCGTTCTTTTTGCATTCGGTAGCGTATCGCTCTGGCACCTGAGTCAAGGAAAATCTTGACGATTGAACTGCGCATGCGCAGGCTGCGCAATGATAACTTTTTTTATTTATTAATATATTTTGTTGAAATTTTAATCACAGATGCTTCTATGGTAAAGGCAAATATATCGCATGTAGTAAAAATCAGATGTGCGCATGCGCAGACTGCGCAATGCCAACTTTCTTATTTATGGAGATATTTCTTTGAAATTTTAACCAAAGATGCGTATAGTAAAAGCAAACGTATTGCCGGCCCGTGTAGCGCAGTTCAGTGGAAGCTCGACTGCGGTACAGGGTCCCTGGTTCGAAACCGGGTTCGGGCATGGATATTTGTAAATGTATAGTGGGTTGGGTTGGTAGAGCAGCCCGGCTGAAACCCCGCCCACTTAAAAATAAAGGCAAAATTAAAAAAAAAAAATATTGTAAATATCAGATTAATAAGCGCATGCGCAGGACGCGTAATATCAACTACGCAGTAAGTGTCAACTTCCTTATTTATGAAGATATTTCTTTAAAATTTTAACCATATATGCCTCTAGTAATATAAAACATAGCGCACATAGGTATGGCCTTTGGGGAAGTATGGATCAATTTATGGAAAATGCGCTGAAGTTACTCGCCTTAGGGCGAAAACCTTTTTACTTGTTTCATTTTTCTCAACAAAACGTGAATGAACTCAAGACCACACAATGTACTGCGGTGCAACAATAAATTTGTATTTTAGGCAACACATGCTGCCGTTCTAAAGGATAATAGCTGTTGTACACTAAGAGTGCTCGAAGTAATCCTAAACTTGGTGGAGCTCCTAATGGACCTGGGGGTTTTAAAACAGTGTTTGCGAGAAGAGGTTTTAGCGGAACACACCCCAACCTCCGTAGCCGATTCCAGTCCTGGTAGTAAACCAGGTAAAAAATCCCAGACGAATCCAAATTTGGGAGGACCGGAAACTGACGCCATTAATAAATCAGTGTCCTCCCATTATCTTCTTATGAATATTATTGTCAGGTAATGTATATTTAATAATGTTGCGGATGGATGATTTGTATTCGAGTAGGGTGTTGAAACATTTGGGTTGTCCACATGGTTGTGCGGATGGTCAACGTGGACCGGCCGCCGAATTCTTACGGACACAATGTCAGAACGCGTTCGCAAAACTCCACAGATCGAGTAGCAAGCAATTTACAAAGTTTTTGCGAGACTACGTTAATTACCAATCGCTCTCTGATGTTCTTGATCTCTTTCACGCTTATGTCGGTTTCTGTATTGATCCGAGTTCACTCCTTTCGCCTCTCAGTAAGTGTTTGTCTTGTCTGTTACACATTTGTACCTAAACACTTCATTGTACTGTTGACTCTGTAAATTTCGTGTTGCTAAGACGTATGGATGCATGAAGCTCATTTTCGATTGTAGATTTGGTGTCTCTAGAGTGATACGCATCCATAAGTGCTTAAAAACCTACATAGCACTAACAAAACTTACATCAGTTCACTTCACACTATAATCTATCCTAAAAGACTGGTGTATATGCTATGCTTTGCTCCATAGAGAAACTGGTCTTGTCTCCTATAACTTCATTTCTGGACATGAACGTCCTTAGAGTAGAGGTAGTGGCTTTGAAAAATGATAAACTTTGAACTGTAAAACGTTTGTTCTTTGGCAATAAGTACGATATTCGTTCTACTATTAATATTGCCAATAATTAGTTATGCAGCATCAAAAAAAGATCTTATTTCAAAGCTATAATCGTAAAGTAATATTTAATTGTCAGACCAGAAGCGGGGCTCTAGCAAGTCGCCAGACAATGTGTCGCAAAGTGGTTATGCCACGAACTTTGGCGCAGGCCTGGGTGGTGGCGGTCTTCGTGGCATCGAAGGTCAAGTCATCTCGCACGTCTTCAAAGCGCTAGTCACCCGCTTCGTTAAGTCGACCAAAGAGATTAAGGCGATGGAAAATCTGGTAAGTTCAGATTTCAGCACTTTTATTTCTTACACCATGCCTAATGCTCACAACAAATTGAGACGCTTATATTTGCTTTAGTCAATGTATTGCGAAGTAAGGCAACTTATCACTTATGTAAAAGAAGCGCACGGAAGCACATTTAGGCGTGTTGCACTCAGCGCACTACTTGATACCGCTGATCGGCCGCATAAAAAAGAATCAGATTTGCAAACGACTCGGGTTATAAGGTAAGCAAAATGATTCCATCGATAACTTCAACTGAAACTCTCTGCTAATATATACATCATATCATTGACAGACATATACAGCAAACTGAAGTGGAAGAGCCAGAACCTACAGAAGTGGTGGCGGAACAGTCATTTTCTGATGACCGAAGCGTTAGAAAGTTATTATTTAAAAAACGTAGTACATCGTCTACGTGCGCAGTAAGTACCTACTTTTAAAAAAAATGTAAAAGGAGTATAATTTTGGATGTAGTTGTCCAATCTTTAAAATTCTGGCTTATTTGATTCTTCTCTAAGAATTTTTCGAACGAATTTGGAGGTAAGTGTATATCTATTTCACCGGAAAATCTTTTCTAAAAGATTTTGATCTGTAGAATCCAAAACGGCCAGAATTTTCATTAGAGTAGATAATCTGGGATGGGTTTATCTTACTAAACTTTGTCCTGTAATTGGATTTTCTGTAAGGACAATAAAGTTATTATTATTATTATTATTAAAAAACTCTCTTTAGGCTCTGATTGAACAGTGGGCTAGGGAGAATGTGAAGATCTTAAAAAAATTCTTACCTAAAAATATCCTTATGAGATTCTATCAAAATTCTGGGGGTTTAGAATAAGCTTTGTATAAGGTTCTGAAACTTAGTGAATTCTTCAATGTATTTATTGCAATATTTCAAATGCACACAATCGTTTTTATTTTACAATTCTGCTAATTCTGTTTTATTTTTAAACATCAAACTGGCGCCAATATGACTTCAGCCCAATAAACGTCAAATTCATTTTCGGTTACATCCAGAACCACAGGACGCTTCAAAGTTTCTTGAGCTTTCTTCACATCAACGACTCTGACCCGTCCATCTCTCCCGGGATGAATTGCTACAATTAATCCTTTCGACCACACGTTTCTTGGTATAGCTAATTGCGCAATGACGACTAGATCACCAATTTCTATAGCCCTTAAATCATTTTGTTCTAAGTCTAAAGTCGGCAAATGCTCCTTGATCCAGCGTTGCCAAAACTGTGTAAGTCTCCATTGTTTACCAGAGCAGAAATCGATCGAGTCAGCGTTCACAAACAGTTGCGGTCCACCTGATGAGCCAAGAAGAAAGTGATTTGGCGTTAAAGCTTCCTTATCAACATGGGCCAACGATAAATAAGTGAGCTGTCTTGAATTGAGTATATATTCAACTTCAGTCAGCAATGTATTTAACGTTTCTTCTTTTGAGGCAGTGCACTTGAGCATGGCACTCACTTTATGGTACGTGAAGAGGAGAGGTTTCGCATATTTTTCTCTTTTCACTCACTTCCAGTTTCGCCGGAAATGGTCCAGGTTTTGAGTTTTTAAATGGTACACCCTGTATATTTGTACGTTTTTGGATTTCTGAGACAATTCTGAATCAAAATGTGACCTTTTCAAAGGTTTTTACGCCTACTTGATTTGTTTACAGCCACTTTTAATATTGCATCTAGATGGCCGTGATCGGACTCAAACCAATATAAGGACCTTAGGTGATCTCACAAAATCACAATCAAAAACTTTTAGTGGCTAATAAATATGAGAGACAGAAATTTGGCAAAATTACATTTTCCATGATGCTTAGCCATGATGCATGATGCATAGTACCTCGCAGTTGTTTTCATGAAGTCTTCCTTGGAAACCAAAACACTCAACATGCAGGACATGCAACGTTTTGCAAGCGTGAATTGTCATCAGTCGGCTCCAAAATGGCGGACGAGCTTACGGGCTAAGCTTACGGACGAGTCAGCTGTGGTATATACAGGGTGGTGATTTGCTTAACGCATCATAGGGATTTCAATGTAAAATTCACAACATGCGATTATTGGCTCTCCAAATTATTTTAGAGCAAAAATGTATTAAGGTTTTTTGTAGAAAAAATTTTTTTACGTCAATCAACCGTATTAGTTTTCAATTTTTTACATAATAAAGACGGAAAATTGGAAAAATAAAACCCGCATCTTTTTCAATAATTTGTGATGCCATGGAATTTCATAATACAAAAACTACGCCAATATCCGTCATGCCATGGAATGTCTGCTATAAAACAAATCAAATTCTATCAAAAAGTATTATATTTTGAACAGCGAATTCAACATAAAGAAAGACCAAATTGTTAAAAACGGTTTCCTAATATAACAATTTACAATAAATGTTCGAATAAGTTACCATTAACTGCAAGACAGTAACCAAGTCGATCATAAAATCCATTTCGAACAGCTGCTAATTGATAACTGGATATCTTTTGTTTTAGAAAATTCCATGGCATCGCAGATTATTGAAAAAGATGCGGGTTTTTTTTTCCAATTTTCCGTCTTTATATGAAAAAAATTGAAAACTAATACGGTTGATTGGCGTAAAAAAATGTTTTCTACAAAAAACTTTAATACATTTTTTCTCTAAAATAATTTGGGGAACCAATAATCGCATGATATGAATTTTACATTGAAATCCCTATAATGCGTTACGCAAGTCACCACCCTGTATAGTAGCTATAGGCTGGGGCTGGTATCATTGGAATAATTGGGCCAATATTGTTTCAAGGTCAGTTAACAGGGGTTAGGTACTTGGGTTTTCTTCAAATTGATGTCGAAGATCATCTTAATCATCTACCTTTAACAGTTTTATGGCGAATTTACTTCGAGCAAGATGGAGCATCGCTTTACAATACCAGAGAAGTTCTTAATTACTTAGTAGAACATTTTAATAATCAGCTATTGTAACAAATGGATCTCAACCGGACCTCACTGTGCTCGATTTCTCTATTTGGGGGTGACGCCTCAAATGTTAGGACGTGTGTAAAGAAACAATTGAACAGGCTGAATAATGTGTTTGTTAATTCTCTTAATTTTTCTTTTGTTAACTTGTTCGTTTGTTAATTTTGTTAAATTTGCTAATCTAATCGCAAATAAATTACTATCATCAGATTCTAAAAAATCCGTTTTTCGCAAAGTGCTTGTCAAAAAAGGGTGGCGATTTGAAAATACTAGTTGTTTTATTTCTGTCTCTGTCTCTCATATTAGCCGCTAAAACTTTGCGATTATAATTTTCTCAGATCACCTATAGGTCCTTATATTGGTTTGGGTCCGATCATGGCCACCTAGATGCAATATTAAAAGTGGCTCTAAAAATTCAAGTAGGCGTAAAAACCTTTGAAAACGTCACATTCTGATTCAGAAATGTCTTAAAAATCCAAAAACGTAAAAATATACAGGGTGTACCATTTAAAAACTCAAACCTGGACCATTTCCGGCGAAACCGGAAGTGAGCGAAAAGAAAAAAATATGCGAAAATTCTCCTCTTCTCGTACCATTTACCTGTACCAATTCTCATTTTGATACACCTAATACTTATGGCTTGTCTAATAGATTGGTTGACACCCTGTATGCGCAAAGTGCACAATGTCATCTTTTTTATTGATGGAAATATCCTTTTAACCAAACATTCTTCTAGTAAAGGCAAGCATATCGCATATTTTAACCATCAGCAAACTGTGCAATGCTGAGTCACTTATGGCCGTATGCCCGACAAATTTAAGCGGAGCTTAAGTTTAAGCGTTGCTTAAAATCCACGGCAACCATTGTCGCAATAATCGTTGCCATGGATTATAAGCTAAGCCTTGCTTAAATTTATCAGTCCATACAGCTGTTATTTATAAGAATATTTATACCACAAGTTGTTTTCCTTTGTAGACATAAATATTCCTTTACATGACCCTTCGGGAAGTTCTGATTAATTCATGGAAAATCCCCTAAAATTGCGCCTTATGGCGAAAACCTGTTTTTCATTTTGTTCCCGAATTTTTTTAATGAAAATCACATTTGTCACATGCTATAATGATTCATAATTTTGACCGACTGTCCTAATAGAGAATCACACTTTTAGAGTCTACTCGAAACTGAAGGCGAGGAGGCAGCAAAGGCCAGCCAAAGCCCTCTCACTAACATAAGAAAGAAACACCACATCTTAACTCCCAGGCAGAGTGAAAAAGCGCTTGGTATCGGCGACGCTGGTCTGATCAAACCGAAATCCAAATCGAGAATCGGGGGAATTGGTCTGTTTGTCATTTGATTTCGGTGTCTTTTTTACCGAATGGTTTTCAGTTAACTGGTTTAAACGTGACACTAATGCGACAGACAACAACGAAAATCTTGACAGCAGCGAATCGGCAACGGACGCATCGAGCTTTGTTAAACAGAAGCATCAGACACAAAAGCCACCGACAAAATCTGCCAGTGCGAGGTAAGATTTAAGAACTGGTCCCAGTTATTTTCTAATAAATTTGGTAGCAATGTCAGCCAGACGTTTCAAAGAGCGAAACGGCGCATGGAAGACAGATTTAGCAAATACGTCTTTAAAAAGGGTAAAAAGAAAGACGGGGGCGCCGAGGAGCCCGCGGGAAGCTGTGAGTAGTCAACTTAAATACTTACTCAGTCAATAAATACTATTGCTTTAGACTTGAGCAGGCGAAACTCTTTGGAATTGGGCGAAACGTCGAGGGAATCTGAGTTTGTCGTTTTAAAAGAACGAAAACTAGTCTCAACGCTACCGGTATTAAATGGAATCCTACGCTTTTCGTTCCTTTTAGAAACCTGCCCGCCCGGCTCGGTTCCGGATCCACACCTACTGGCAGCGATTCTCGATTTGGTAAATGATGAAGTAACGCTAAAAATCTTCAGTAAAATTTTTAGCCGCACTCTGCTATTGTATCCAGAGCAGCAGTTCTGCTGGAATGTTCGTACTTTGTGCACTGTTGCAATAAGGGACAGTGGCCTTCGTGGATGAAGCTTAGTTTTCCAATGTTTCGACCGTCGGGACCGTTGCCAACACGTGGTCCCAATTCCGGTATACGTCGCTCGCATATTACCCAACGCGCGGCTGGTAAAATGTTTTACCAATGGGCTGAGGTATGCGGACGAGAACCGAATTATTTACGCACAAATTAATTATTGTAGATAGTGGGTGCGCGGTTGGAGGAGTTAATTAATGAAGATAAAAATCATCAAGCGCACATTTTAAACTTAGTGGCGGACGAAGGTAAACAAAAAGAGCTGTTGATGCAAGACGAAGAAGAAGACTTCTTAGATGAAGGTAAGCAACTGTTTATCAACTCTGGTGCAATTTTGTAAATAGCAACTCGGGTAAATACTTATTGCAGTTTGAGAAAATAGTGCAGCTATAGGAAAAGTAGTATAACGTGCCGCTCGTAATTTGTATACAGGGTGTTTTTTTGGGAGTTTTAGTTTCTCAGAAAGTAAAAGAGGTAGGTTTTTGAAAATTTGTACTTAGGAGTTACGCTGAAGGCCGAATCAATGTAAAATATTTTCAAAATGGCCGCACTTCCGGAAACACCGGAAGTAGATAGTAACTTCGTTGTTTTAAATAGCAACCCCAATTTTTTATTGGGTTTTTGGAGTCTACGTGAAATTTCAGTTCTTTTGATATCCATATGTCGATATTTGCCATTTATGGTTTTTAAGTTATTTTGACTAAGAAAAAAAATGGCGGATGCAGATGGTACCTTGAAAATTGATTACTTGAAAACGGTTGTAGTCATGGCAACCTATTTTTATCAGTGCATATAGAATGAATACAGCTTTCTTTTAGTGTCCTTAAAAAAAAGTTAATTTGCGTAAGACCGCCCCTATGGAGATCCAAATTTATGAAACTTCAAAGACTAAAAACTCAGTTTTATTAAATGGAATGACCATTTTCTTACTATTGCATGAGATAAAGAATCGAAATGGGCATATTTCGACAATACATGTTCCTATAGCTATCTTTACCAGTTTATGACTTATTCCCATTTTATTGAATTGACACTATTTTTTTCGGATTTTCTTTTTAGTAGTCGGCCATGATTTTATAACAATTGAATTTTAAACAATTCTAGTGACACTAATCCGTCACCTACTGTTATAGGTTAACATAAGTTTTTCAAAAATCGAAAAATGACTCGCAGTGGTTTCACCTATTTTGGAATTTAATTGTTATTTATGGTGAAATGGGCAGAATCGCGGCGCGTGCTTTCCGTACATTCATTCGAACACTGGAACGAAATTGTATGAATTTTGGAAATGTTGTACCTACCCCCAAATGCACTACAAACCGTTGAAGCACAAGTGATACAAAGCTCTACAAGAGAATATTTAAGAAAACGAATTGAATTGCAAATGCAAGATTAACAAAATAAATTCAATGTAAAATATAAAAACCTTCGTTGAAACATTTTTTGTATGGAATTGTTGCTAGAACAGGTATCGCAATACCTCTCTGAATTTTCAGACTTATACATTGTTTAAGAAATTCAGTTGAACGACTCTGTCTAGATTTCTCAAAAATTTTGCCGTCCTGTATCCTTAATAAATGACATATTTATTAATGAATTATTTAGACTAGAATCAATGATATTAAAGAATCCTTTTCTTGATTTGTTTAAAATTCGATTGATATAAAATCATGGCCAACTACTAAAATGAAAATGCAAAAAAAATGGCATGCAATAGTAAGAACATAGTCATTCCATTTAATAAAACTGAGTTTTTGGACTTTGAAGTTTCTTAAATTTGGATCTCCATACGTGCGGTTGTACGCAACTTAACTTTTTTTAAGTACACTAAAAGAAAGCCCTATTCATTCTCTATGCACTGATAAAAATGGGTTGCCATGACTATAACCGTTTTCAAGTAATCAATTATCAAGGTACCATCTGCATCCGCCATTTTTTTTCATAAAGTCAAAATAACTTTAAAACCATAAATGGCAGATATGGACATGTGGATATCAAAAGAACTGAAATTTTACGTAGAATCCAAATATGCAATAAAAAATACGGGTTGCCATTTAATATAACGAAGTTACTATCTACTTCCGGTGTTTCCGGAAGTGTGGCCATTTTGAAAATATTTTACATCGATTCGGTCTTCAGAGTAACTCCTAAGTACAAATTTTCAAAAACCTACCTATTTTACTTTCCCAGAAACGTTTTACTAAAGCTCCCAAAAAAACACCCTGTATAATACTGAAAGAAATTTAATAATTACAGCTAGCATTAATACGTACGGTTCTAATTGTCCAATGCCGCTGCGACTAATTGCATGCGTCTTATTATATGAAATAACAACGTTTCTTCGTGAAACCTACCAAACGTTACCGAAATCGTCCCGAATGTTTGGGAAGGAAAAGCCTCAAGCTTGGGATCGCATGTACAGTAAGGAGGCAAACAGGCGATGGAGTATGGCGCTCTCATCCATGGGGCACTCACAGACCTCAGCTCAAAGTCTGCAATCAATTGCCGGAGACCGCGAATCAGGCAAGCGAGAAAGCGGTTTGGTAGTCGAATAATTCGATTGTGTCTACAGGTCAGACCGAGCGAAAGATTAGTTTTGTGCTACACGAACCGGATGTCGAATCTGAAGGAAGCAGTAATACAACTGTAATTATTCGGGTAACTTTTCGAAACGTAGCTTAAGGTAAAATTGTTTTCAGGGCGAAGAAGTGAAGCGCATTGTGCCGCAACCTCGTCCATACTTACTACGTCGCAGTAACGCAGCGACCACGGCTGGTGGTTCTTTTAAACGCAGAAGCTTAAAGCTGAGACGAGGTACCAAAGAAGGCAAAGATATGGAGGTTGAATGTAAGTCGGCTAATGCTAAATGATTTAATTCATTGTAACATTGAAGGGAAAATCCCAGAAACTGTGAAAAGAACCGATTCAATTCAGTCAAAACGAAAAGTGAGCTCTTTATCGGATCGCAGCGATAATTCAGAACCTGGTGCCACAGGAGAAGCAAGTGGGGAAGAATCGCCAGGTGTCTTGAGCGATGATCAACCTCCAGAGAGCCCCAGTGATAGTAACGATACAGACGACACAACCAAGCACATGCCTTGGCTAAAGGCCATGGTGCAGATATCAAATTCCTTTTATTTTTATTGCACTCATCAACACTTCTGCCACCCGTACTGTTACCGCCGCATTATTCGCGGTACATCACGATTGATAAAAGCAGTGCGCAAGGTGATCAATTTAACAGTTAGTAACCCTGACTAATCTAGTTGTAGGTGTACGGAGAGGAGTTTGGTGTGCTCTCTGAAGATAAACAAGACATTCAATTTGAATTAAAAGGACACAAGCGTAAGAAATATAAAGGACAAAATCGAAAGGTGTCCGATCAGACGAGCTCACAAGTATCTCCAATTCGACGTAAAGACAGCATGGCAAAACGAGACAGGTGCTCAACGATCTAATTTTGATCGATACCTAATTATTTTACTTGCAGAATTGATAAAAATTTGAATGGTTCCCAAACGAGTAAACTCGCGTCGAAAGACTCCTCAAAAGATTTGGCCGATTCTGATATAGAACGTGACATATCCGGGGTCGTTATTGACAATAAACCCAAAGAGCAACCACCAATTTTAAAGTATATCAAAACTCAGGTATGTTTCTGTTCTGATTTCTGTGATACATCGCCTAACTGAAAAGTGTAGGTTAAAGATGGGTTTCACAGTCCGCTCGCTGTATTACTGAAAGGGGCAGTGATAATGACCGAAGAACAGTTTTTGGACATAATGCGCGTAGCTTGGGAATTTCTCTTGGAGTGGAATCAAGAGATTGCGGCGTGTGCAGCCTCGCTGTTTATTCTGTGTTCGGTTAAGGTACCTCAACAAGTTTCCGACCTGATGCATCAAAGTCTGTCGAATACGGATCCTTCTGTACGAATTAATTCGGTGCTAAGGTTAGTTGTTTTTCTTTATGGATTCGTGATCATTTTCTCGCTGGAATATCGCTCGTTTGCCCTCCTTGACAAAACCCCGCCGGTTAAATTGCCATTGCTATGAATTATTAACTTTGTGTAGTCAGACATATAGAACACAGACAGGATTTTTGGTATCAGGTATTTCACTCACTGAAACACATATAATTGTGATATTTTCTGGATTCTGCATTACGATAGGAGGGTGGACAGGACAGGGTTCACGCGTACGTAGGCCTCAAAGTCGGGCCCTTTGTAATACCACAAATTTAAATATACTACACGGATCATGGGATAGGCGATTGTGGAAACATCACAAACGCTCCAGCTGCTGGCGCACTTATATGAATGTATTAAATGGAAAGGTTTAGTTTGCGTCTCAGCTTAAAATAATCAACGGGAGTCTGTATAACCATGGCATAGAAGGTTTTTACTATTGGTGGTGATGAAACGCAATGTAATATGAATTTTCTCTTCGAAATTAGAACAATATGGGTGACTGTTCTCTCTCCTTTAATTTAAATTAATAAAATCCAAGAACATTAAAATTCTGTTATCAACTACCATAAATCGAAAGTTTTGATGCGTCTATACTTTCATACAAGGCATCCCTAAATGAAATTTAAACCAGTTGTCAAATTATTACAAAACATGCTTTCTATAACCACTCGAAAACTTTGCTCGTTACCTTTTTGTTTATTTTAACTTAATTTTACCACCCGCACATTAGATGTCTATTAAAAATTGAATAACGAAGTTGCCATAAAACTTAGAAGGCTGTGACTTTGCAGTATCACCAATTATCACGTGTATTTACCTACATACGCCGAACGGTCAAAATTAAACTTTTTTTGTGTTAAAAAAAATGACATGTCAATTTTCAAAATTTCAATAATAATAATAATAATATCCCTTTATTTTAAACTCAAACCGCCTTCATAAATATAAAAATAAAAAGAGATTGAAATTAAATGTCATGTTCTAAGCTAAAACTAAAAATTAAATTTAACGGAAAAAAATACATTACTTGTATTAAATCAACTTAACCCACAAAATAAAATCATTTCTGATAGTCGACGAGAGACAAGATGTGCACGCTAAATGATAACTTGTTGCATGCAGATCATGCTAATCGTAGACACCCCCCTTAAAATTTATGTTTAAAAAATAAAATAATCTTTCTTTAATTTATTTTAATTAAAAAATGTTTTCCACTGACACGGTTTGGACCAGATTTTTAATTTTACTTTTAAATGATTCGTATGAATAAGTTACCAAGTCATTGCCGTAATATTCTTGTATCTTATTAAAAACTTTATAAGTATTGAATAAAAAATTTCTTTGTCCAATCTTTTTCTTTGTAAGCGGTACATTACACTTATTGGATATCATCCATCTGGTAGAGTAATTATGTATGGGTAATTCCAGTTCGCTGTTCAGGTGATTTTTATATAAATATCGAGCAATGGCAATAAAGTATAACTGCTTTACGCCGAATAACTGCGATTCATGAAAAACTAGATGAGACGGATATCTCTTTGGTGTTTGTAATATGGCTTTGGTGATTATTTTTTGGACCATAACATAGTAGAGCTTGGACGTATCCGAAATAAATTTTCTTTAGAGAATGCAAGTGCAAGTGTAATTTTATAGTGTGAAATAGGTGAGTTTTCTAAGTTTACTTACAAGGTGTGAAACATGCACATTCCATCTAGGTTATTGATCAAAATATATCCCTAAATATTTAATTTCTGTTACCTTTTTAATGTAAATATCGCACTTGCAATGGATTTGACTACATCCAAGACAGTGTATTTGCAAGAGATCGAGCGTTTGTTGTTCTGATAGATTATACAATTTAAAAGTCATAAAAAACGTTTTATTAAAGTTTAGGCACAGGAGATTATTATCTAGCCAATGTTTAACATTAGATATGCTATTCTGAGCTTGCACATACACTTCCTCCCAGTTCTTTCCTGTTACAAGTAATACTGTGTCATCGGCATATGATACCGTTCGTCTCGCGACAGTAATCACTTGGCTGCTACGCACATGCGTATTACACCTTCCCATTAATGCACAAAACTTTAAATTTAAATTTAGAAATGTGAATAAAGAAATACCGTTCTGCGCATGTGCGTAGCAGCCAAGTGATTACTGTCGCGAGCCGTTCTTATATGATATGGCTACAAGGGTCCTGGGTTCAAATCCCAGGTAAGGCATGGCTGTTTGTGATTGTATAGTGGGTTGAGTGGGAAGAGTAGCAAATTGCTAACACTTCGCCCACTATAAAATAAAGGCAATAAAATAAATAAATAAATAAAATTAAAATAAAAATATTAACTTAGTGTGCTCGTTGCTGTTCATTAATAAGTCGTTTGCATAAATTATGTACAATAGAGGTCCCAAAATGGAACCCTGTGGAATACCACGAGAGACACCTAATTCTGTGCTCAACTTTCCATTACAGTAGACCCTTATTCCTTCCTATTACTCACAAAATTTTTTAATAGTTTACTTCCACTCCCACCTATACCATACAATTCTAATTTTTCCAACAGTCTTGGAATAGACACGCAATCAAAAGCCTTGGATAGGTCGAAAATTATTGCCATTGTAGGAATAGAATTGTCTAGGTTTGCGTAAAGATTTGTAGATAAATAGGTAAGCGCGTCTTCGGTGCCTAACTTATGCCTAAACCCAAACTGTTTTTCTGAAAATAGTTTATTTACCTCAAAAAAACTGTACAGTTGCTTTTTTAAATGCGTCTCAAATATTTTTGATATGCACGATGTTATTGTGATGGGTCTATAATTTTCCATAACCTGATTGTTACCGGATTTAAACATCGGTTTGACAATGGCAATTTTTAAAACATTAGGATAATTTCCATCTGTATAGCATCGATTCAAAATTATACTTAAAGGCAATCCAAGCTAACTTGATTTTTTAAATGGAACTACCAAGTTTTTTATTGCTTCACATGATAACATTTCTAACAAGTCAAGTGTGGCAGAAAATGAACAGGATGGGATATTTTGGGACACTTCAGGAATGATTGCTGTGCGGAAGGTTTCACTATCAATATTGACTCGCCATCTTGAAATTTCAAACTGTGATTTGTACCATAAGAACTGGCACTATCAAATATAGGTATTTGGTAAAGGCTTTATCGTACCACCCATTATCGATATCACCAGACTCATGGTGTCGATGGTGATGCTTTCGCAGCTTCCTCCTCTAGTTTTCTTTCTTCCTACGTGGGAAATAAGAATGTTCTCTTTCCAGTTACTTTGGAGTTTCTTTTCCATTGTTAAGACAACAATTGACTATTAGAAGTATATTAGATGACAGATAATTAAAAAGAAATTTCGCAAATTTCCATAGAAGTACAACGTTGCCAGTTAATCAAGGAGTTTTTTTGTTTTGTGCATACCAATCGAATTTAATCAAAGGTTTAATTTAATCATACTGATTAACTAACGGCCCGATTATTTATTGTTTGTGCATTCGGCCACTAATCTATCTAGATCTCGCCTGCAATCAAGCCCTGTACCCGATTGGAATCTTGCCTACTGCGCCGCCTTACTATTACTGCATATGTATTATTACGGTAAACTTATCTCAATCGATTAGGCCCATGGAAGCCTTCCAAACCTCGACCTTCACAGCTAAGTGTAAAGGCTAGTCCTAGAAATGCCTCCATGGCCAAAATTGGCGTGGTTTTCATGGCTCCAGTGACTCCAAAGACAGGCGAGTCTCTGTACCTTACCTCCCTGCTTCGTGCAGGTTGCCCTACGCATGGCAGGGCTGATGGAGGGTTAAAGCCACATGTACAGCTAAAAGCCCTTCTACATGCCCATAGACATGCAGTGTTTTTTTTTGCTTATTCGCTTATTCCAGGTCAAGTAGGAGTCTGTGATAAGTCCCAAATATTTCACTGACATTGGCGTCCTCGAAGAGTGAGCCCATCAACGTCCTCTCTCCTCTTATTTGGAGATGGAACAACCTCAGTCTTTTCCAGGTTAATGGAGAAACCCTGGCTACAGCACCATTTATCCACCTAGTAGCCTCATCTCGGTTGACTCATCTCGGTTGAAGAATGACCCTGCTTCCAAGCATGCGCTGTCGGAGCCCCCGCCCCCGGTCAGACATCATACCATACCAACTCTGTAAGCATGTTGGAATGAATGTATAGTGGTCTCAGGACCTCTCTCCAGCTTTCGGGGACACCCTGTAATGTTCCTAGGGGTGTATCAAGCCGACACTGAAAACGTTGACTTACCCTATACAGCAGAGCCACTTACCATTCAAATCGAAACGATGGTAGTTCCGCGGCACTTTTGAATTTGGATGGCAGTCGGCTCGATATGGATGGCACGAATGAACTCCTACTTTGTGTAATCGGTTCTTTTATGTGTTGGGACGTGAGACATAATCGGGAAGGGAATTAAATAAAAGACAGAACTTTTGTGCGTAAGAAATGACAAGATCAAATAAATATATTACGCACACACAATACCATGCCAGGGAAACCTTCTACGGGACTAAAACCCTGGCATAGGCCTCACAAATACATGAAATAAATCACCTACCGCAATAAAATGCAAGAGAAAATACACATAAATAAAACATCTCAAATGGTATGATAAAAATCAGATAATCAAATCAAATGCAATTAAACAAGTTCATGAAAACAAAATACACAAGACATCATAAATGCAGTGGAAAACATGATAAATCAATTCAGTACAAAAACACATCAAAATACCTGTACCATCAATTGAGATAACAAAACTCGTCAAATAAATAAATTGCCTGTACATAGGAAACATCAAAATGGTGTGGCTCTACTCCAACCTTCATTAACATAATTTAATTTAACATGAAAAGTACATGTTGCAATTAGGGATGGGCGATAACTATTTCCACCTATCGATAAGTATCGGGTACTTACCTATCGATATATTTTACTTATCGATATGCCGATAATTATCGAAATATCGATGGTTATCGATATATCGATACTTATCGATAACTATCGAAATATCGATAACTGTCGATGTATCGATAAGTATCAGTATATCGACAGTTATCGATATGTTGATAGTTATCGATATATCGATAGTTATCGATATATGAATACTATCGATACATTGATAGGTATCGATATATCGATAAGTATCGATATGTCGATAATAGTTATCGCTAGGGATGGGCGATAACTGTTTTCACCTTCAAAAAGATCTAATTTCTAAAGATTTTATTACTGCGTGGATTTGGCATGGATGATGATGTGACTTAGCGCTTCTTTTGAGAAAGGGAGCAAAGTTAAGTTTCCGAAACGTCGAGCAACTAAAAATAGTAACTTTAAACGAGAGTAAACCCGAAAATGGATTTTATTAATAAAAATAGTAGCGCTCGTTGAAATCTCAACAATAACATAATCTTATCGTACCAATAGTTATCGACATATCGATATATCAATAGTTATCGACATATCGTTATATCAATAGTTATCGATATATCGATATAGAAATAGTTATCGACATATCGATATAGAAATAGTTATCGACATATCGATATATCAATATTTATCGACATATCGATAGATATCGATATATCGACTTATCGATATATCGATAGTTGATATATCGATTTTTTTAGCTCTACCTATTGTTATTCGATATATCGATAACTATCGATACCTATCGATATATCAAAAAAAATTCCCATGCCTAATTGCAAGCGCAGCGGTACTCTGAAGCCAGGAAAATCCCGACCGATCCTGCACTTGTAAAGGTGATCAACACCCATGTCAGACATCCTTTGATAACCATCCGGAGAGCTACTTTCCAGTCGATCAGCCTTGCACTGACCCGGGTATCTCCTTTTGGTTGGTCCAAAATTACGTAGTCCCCCGAGCCTCGAAAGTGTGTTTCCAGGAGACATGTGAAAACCTCGCCCACGGTTGACGCATATGTTGGAAACTTCAGTGTCCACACTTTTTGCTCCGGTCTTTTAAAAGGATCTTCTGAAGTTTTTGATCATTGGGGAAATCCTTTATGTTACAGAAGATCCTCCATGATCCTTGCTTAGACTTTCGAAGATGGTCCTTATAACTGCGTTGAGCGATCTCAAGATTTTCCCAGTACGCAGGCAGCTTAGTTCGCATGGCCATATTAAAGAGCCTACGAACCCAACAAGTTCCACCAAGGTATTCTCTTTGCTCCTCGAAAGGCCCGCAGAGCTAGAGACACTGTTAGTCCTTGACCGATACCAAGATATTGAGTGAATCTTGCTGCTCCGGCCCTGTCTTTTAGCTCGCGTGGCCAGAGCACTCGCTTTCGTCACAAATGTGACGTGCGAAACCCCCGAGTGCTCTTGAAAGTTATGCCGCTGGAGTGCCTGATAGGATGCCTCATCGACACCTAATACGACTACGAGGAGAATTCTACCGGGCACCTCCTGGCGGAAGAACGTCCTCCATATGCTCGTTCTGAAACCAGGCTTTTGCGTCTGTAAGCGCTTGAAGACGGTAGCCGTGTCATCCGGGAACCCGTATAACACAGGCATCCCTTTCACCCAGACACAGAGCCCGCTTGACCCGAGGTGTTACCTTCGAGCTCGCTCTTCCTAGCCATCGCCTTCTGTTCTTCAGTCGTATTATTCTTGCGAGTAGGAGCTGGCCCACCATCACAACCTTGAATAAGGTCCTGCGTTGGAGCCCTTCCCTTCTTTCGAGGGAAAAGCTTGTTGGTCCCCCTTGACGAGGAGTCCACAAGTAGTTATAATCGTCACTCCCCACACCACACCATGAGTCACTTTACGAACATTCAGGTGTCTGTGTGGGCGTTCCCCTATCAGCCAGCCAGCGGGAAAATGATCGGATTCTCTCACCTTGCATAGGCAAAAAAAAAGTAATTATTCTGTACAGGTTTCAAGTATTGTGGAAACTGCGATATCAGGTTTGGCCTCGAATGGAAGAAAACGCGCACATTTTATTTAAAGTCCCCCCACCTGGCATTGAATTTACACTGCCATCCCCAAAAATTGGAATCGAGTGCCTTGAAGTTGTAGATTCACCTTGGAAGCTGCACGTTAAGACGAAAGTAGAAGAGGTGGCACTTAATCAGGAAAGACATGTACGTATTAAAGCTTTCACTGGTGTTAGATACATTTATGACACCCTGATTACAGCGATCTCTAGTCACTGCTACCAAAACTCGTAAAAAACAACAAGCGGAAATGGTGAAGATGTTTCTACAATCGGAAGACGATAAGAAAAGGGCGGAGCGTGAAAACTTCCTTATAACAACAATTCCGATCACTATACAAGCAGGTCACGAACCGAGTCTTTACCACACAGCAGGAGAGGAGCACGAAGAAGGTGTTGCATACCCAGTGCGGTTATAACTAAATACCATGATAGTTGCAGGAGATGATGACCCCATAGAGGGACAGTCACGTAACGCCGGTCATCACCAGCACTCGGCCCATTCCCTCTTTCCGTCCTGCCTTTGCTCTGCTGTTACGGAAATAATCGGTCTATTAGACGATGCAGCTGTGGCGCCCGATGGAAACGCTGTATACGAGGTGGCCTACGAGGTTATTTGGTGCTGTCTTGTCGAAGACAGTGCTTTGTTCTTACGCTACATTTTGGAGAAATTGACTAGGGAAAAGCAAGATCAAATTTTTAAAGTGTTGCGTCATTTAATACGTTTTATACCCAAGCTACCACAACAGGCAGCTTTCGCCTTATATAATTATATAATTGGTTACGTTATGTTCTATGTACGGACCCCACACGAAGATGGACAAAAATTAATTGGAACTGCTCTTTCGTTATTGTGGATGGTACGTTTCGTTTTTGAGTCTATATTTTCTTTGTTTCTGAAGCCAACTCTTAAACTGCCTTATAATTTTATTCGATCCCTTGCAGGTTGTGCATAGCGTTCACGGAATAATGTTTAAAGATCTGAAGCAAATATTACGAAAAGAACAATGCGACACCTCCATACTCCTAACGGCAAACGTACCATCGGCAAAGAAAATTATAGTGCACGGTCCCCAAGATCCCGACGCTGGCGGAATTCCATCGCAATTCCCGGTACAGGAAGATACTCAGTTCTGTCAAATTTTACGCGAATCGTTAGACTTCTTTGGCATAGACGAAGCTCGCCATAAAGAATTTTTCTTGGTCGACTACAAAACACGTAAGTTGTAATTTGTAGTTACTGTAACTGACACTGGTGGCGCGTTTGTAGATCAAATTCGAAGTCCTTCCTCTTACGTCCGTGACTTTTACTTCTTTAAACGCTCGCAGTATCCTCAATTGGAGTTGGTCCATATGAAACCGGAAGAGGCATTTAATGCGCTGCAGCGCCAAGAGTTGGTTTACAAGTTTGTCGAAATAGGCAAAGTGCTGCTGACGTGGGCGATACTTAAAAACGTTGACATGGTCGTGCAGCGAGTCGTATTTTTGCACGAGGAGTTAATGAAGCTACCTTCCTTCCCCAGGAAGGCATTGGAATCCGACATGGATTTATACAAAGGTGGTGAAATCGGGAAGGTAACAATCGTGCGAGCTTTACACCATTTAGCATCTGTCACAAATTGCAGCAATTATTAGGATTGGATGTTCTGCACAAGTTTATGTGGATTCGACTAATCGCGCGAATGTTTGAAGCGATGGCTGGCAACTTTGCATATTCGGGGGACATCCACCTGTTCTTAAACGTGTTAAATGGAGCTTTTATTATACACTCGGAGGACAGTATTATTTTACGTTACGTCGTTGCAACGTACATAAATGCGGCGTTTCACTTCAAAAACATATTCTCAACCAATGGGTACCTACTGATAATGCCTACTTTGCTAAAGATTTATTCAAACCATCCAACAAATAAGCTTGTAACGACAACTGTCGAGTATGCTGTTAAACAGTTTTACTTAATGAATCGGAAACCATTTATATTGCAAATGTTTGGTTCAGTTTCGGCCATTTTAGATACAGATGAAGAAGGAACTTATGGTGACGCACATAAGGTAAACTTTTGTTCATAAAACATTTATGTCCTTTTTGAGTTATGAATGTATTTCTTTGGAGTCAAATCATCACTTGCAAGTACATTGTAAATTGACACAAAAGTTAAGAGGATAAAAAGGATGAGGGGTAGTGTACAACTCTAAGTTAAACATTATACAAGTTTATTTTAGCGAGCTATAAAAAATGACGTTTTTTTTGGAAATGGGATTTTTATCCCCTGCACTTTTTTTTGCTGTTTTTTTTAAATGGAATTACGTAATTGGGATGGGTATTTTTTATCTCCTGGTGCTCTTTTGTTTTTTTTAAATTTTGACATGGTACCTATTACATAATTGAGATGGGTGGTATCTGTGTCCCCTGATGCTCTTTTGTTTTTTTGTATGGGATCATTGTCCCCCTTTTTTTTAAGTCGAATTAATTGGGATGGGTGGAATTTTTGTTCCTTGATGCTCGGTTATTATTTTTTTTAATTTTGTAACGGGATTAATTGACATGGTGGAATCTTTGTTCCCTGCTCTTTTGTTTTTTTTTATATGAGATCATTACAAAGAGTACACAATAGTTACTCTTTGATCAATGTCCTTGTTTTTTTTTAAATGGAACTAATTGGGATGGGCGGGATCCTTGTCCCCTGATGCTCATTTGTTTTTTTTTGTATGAGATCATTGTTCCCAGTTTTTTTTAAACGGAATTAATTGAGATGGGTGGAATTCCTGTCCCCTGCGCTTTTGTTTTGTTTTAATGAGATCATTGTCCTCTGTTTTTTTTTGAGACGGAATTAATTGGGATGGGTGAGATCTTTATCTCCCGATGCTCTTTTGTTTTTTTTATTTTGAAACAGGATTAATTGGGATAGGTGGGATCTTTGTCCCCTGATGCTCGTTTGTTTTTTTTATTATTTTAGAACGGGATTAATTGGAAGGGGTTGGATCTTTGTATCCTGCTCTTTTGAATTTTTTTAATAGGATTTTTGGTCCTCGGTTGTTTTTGTTTTTTTATTATTTTTAAACTGGATTAATTGGGATGGGTGAGATCTTTAATGGATTCATTGAATTTTTATTTGTTTGGTTTTTTTTTAAAGTAAAAAGGATGGGGAGTAATTGAACAGCAACAATGGCTCGATACATTATTGTTCTGATTTTCGACCGTCTTGCTTAGATAGCAATGTCACGTACGAAGTCCCTTCTGTGTGGGCAGTGCGCCTTCGAGCACCCATGGTATAATAAAGCTGCCTTAGTGAGCCATAATATAACGTGACCTTTTTCCTGTTTAACGATATTCCGCTTACACGGCCATCCTGTCATCGGTGTATTTCCGCGCCGATTTTTCAGGTTTAGTTGAAATTGCAAACCAGCGATTTTTTATATTTTAATTCTAATTATTTTTAAATTTTTTTTTATTGAATGGGGCTCTTTTGGGTTTTTTTAATGGGATTTTTATCCCCTGCCTGGTATCTTTTTTGGAAACCAATTAATTGGGATGAATGGGATCTTTTTCCCCTGCTCTTTTTTTAGCGAATCACAACGAAGTTGAGGTAATCTAATCAATTGTCTGTTCCATCGAGATCTCGAACCCTGGGCCACCTAGACGTGGCTTTAGGTTCTCGCTAATTGATAGCTACTATATGATCTATGTATTTTGCCCGTTATTCATAATCATCATTTACAGTTGTGTTACACGGCAACACCCGCAAGTGGGTTTTGAAACATTTTGTTTAAAGGAGCGCGCCCACCGAATCCGTTCCGCTCGGCTCGGCACCGTTCCGCACAGTCCCGTCCGTCCAGAAGGCGCCCACTGGTTCCGTCTGCTTCCGTGACCGTCCGTCGCATCGCGTTTAGTTCGATGCAAAATGGCATCAAGAGAGGTTGTAACACGTCGAGACGCAGAGAGTTCTTCCGATGAAGAGGTTATTTTAGTGGCTGCATGCAGTGAAATCAAAGAAAGAAGTTATTGGGTACACGATATTTTTATAAAAAGAGACGAGTATGGGGAATTCCATCATTTATTTCCACAATTGCTAGAGGACCCGGAAAAGTTTTTTAAATATTTCATACAAAATGGGATAATGACGCACCAACTCTATTAACTTTTCGTCACCCATGTTTGTGCGCTGCAATTGCGACGTATAATGTACTGCTATTTTAGAATTTTAGCGATAGACGGGTGCGTCACCGGCAAAAGTTGCTAGTCGAAGCAACCACGACGGAGACGAACTGGACGGTGCCGAACGGGTCGGAGTGCGACGGATTGGGTGGGCGCTACTCATTGCTTTCTGTGTAAAGCAACTCGGACGGAGAGACGGGACTGTGCCGAGCGGAACGGATTCGGTGGGCGCGCTCCTTAATTGTCAGCTGTTTTTTTTTTAAGGAATTAATTGAGAGGGGTGGAATCTTCGTCTCCTGATTCTCTTTTGCTTTTGTTTTATTTTGTAACGAGATTAATGAGGATGGTTGGAATCTTTGTCCCCTGTTCTTTTGGTTTTTTTTTAAAGGGATCATTGTCCTCTGATGCTTTCTTGTTTTTTTTATTTTGAAATGAGATAAATCCCATACTTTTTTTTGATTTTTTAAAATCTTGAAACTGTGTTAATTGGGATTGGTGGGATCTTTGTCCCCTGCTCTTTTGGTTTGTTTTAATTAGGATCATTGGCCCTGCTTTTTGTTTGTTTGATTTCTTGTAATTTAAATATTATACAATTTAATGGGTGTTTATTGAACAGTACCTAACAATGGCTCAGTACATTACTCTGATTACCTGTGACCTAAAGCACAGTTTCATTGTGAGACCTTAAGTAAATTAGAGTGACCATGTCTAATTTACCTTTACTCCTCCCTCTCCCCCTTGTTCCACAGCTTTCTGAGCCCTACTCATTTTTCAGGGCTGCCTATGTTCGTTTAGCTCAGAAATTGACAAATAATAAGGCTTTTTACACGCCATCTAGAATATTACAGATGCATTTTACAGCATCTGAAGACTTTGCATTGCAATGTGAAACGTTTCAGAGCTTTTTTTTTGTCATTTCCAGACTCCCTAGGCTCGCATAGCTCTTGTAAAGACCTGGATGGACTCAGTGGTTTTTTTACGCTCAAGTACAAGCTTCTTCTATCTTTTCCAGATCTTCATAGTTTCTTGGAAAGTTGTTTCCACAGTATTATTTTTTAGCAATCGAAAATCTTTAGAACTTCCTAGGAGCTTTCCACTGTTTTATCTGTGTCCAAGATAAGGATGATCTCGGAAACCATAAAATATATGATACTGTATACACATATACACATATATATATACAATGTATAGTCGTGTGAGAATACTTATCAGACAAATTTTCTATTTTACAAGGAATTTGTCCGATAGGTAGGTATTCTCGCACAATTAAGGCGTTGTGCGCGGGCGCACCATCCCGTTGAAACCAACAGTTTCCAACTTTTGTTTTTTTGTATGTTGCCCTTTATTGTACTTGTAATAAAAAATGCTACTCAATACATCAGTATATACTTTTTTACGGGCCATGTAAAAAAATAAAAACGAAATCGTTCCGTTTTCCGGGGACATCTTCGGAAGTAATCCGAATTAGGTATCTGGTTTTCTCTTTAAAGTAAACTGTTTAATTACGCAACTTTTCCCTAATTTGACAATCGTCATATATTCTATGGTTTCCGAGCTCCCCTTGATAGACATCCTTATCTTGGGCACAGTGTACACCCTCCCCAGATCCTAGAAATCTCAGAAAGTCTCAAGTCTCATAAGCATTTGACCCTATACATTCCGAGAAATGACCATTGAAGAGCTCTGCAAAGGCTCATAAATGCTGTAGAAGCTCTGGAGGGCATCTAAGAGGCTCTGATGGAAGAAGGTCTATGGATGCCCTGTAAAGGCCCAGAATTGTTCAGAAATTTCTAGGTCCACGCGAGTCTACAAAAGGCTTATCTTTTGTCTTGTAAGAGCTTTTAAGAGCTTTCAAACAAGGTTTTTCCACACTGATCAAGCAGCAGGTTTTATTACAGAACACAAGAACTTTTTAGGCTTTTCCAAAGCTCTCTAGAATAGTCTTGTGGCTATTAGAAGGCCATTTTTGGAGCTTGATAAGCTCGTTTTGCCTTGCAATGTAAAGGAAACGCTCAGAAGTTTTTCATAACTACGTACTTAGCAGCTTTTCAGAGCTTTAGGTATATAGTCTCTCCAGAGACCAGTTTTTTTATTTGTCATGGTATGCAGTTCAGTTGATTAATAAAGTATTCAAACAACCAGAAACACTCCATCATTTAAAAAAATACAAAAATTGCATATAGAATTGACTTATTATCTGTAACTCTCTCTGTGTTTTTATTTGATTGTTAAACCCGACTCACTTATTTTTAGATACAATCAAGCTGTCTATTCAACTTGCTGTTAAGCTTGGAAACACCCTCCCCCGATCCCCTTAACATAGGCGAATTAGTCAAAGAAGAAAAACCGCTAAAAGCGATCGATTTTTGTTACCACGACGAAAACGAAATGGTTACCATTTTGGATTGCATTTCTCTGTGCGTTATGGTGGTTTCGTATGCATCCGAAAGCGTACGAGGTTACCAAATGTTGGTAAGAAGTACGAACAAATGCGTAACTCACGAGTTGAACAATTGTTAACTTGCAGATTATTCTGGAGGCAATCCTGCCTTGTTACGTTCAGCATATCCAGCTGCCGTCATATAACAAAGAAGGTAAAAGCGAAAGGGAGATTTTGCATCAATTATCGATCGCTATACGGACGTTAGTGAACAACTGTGAAGCTCTAACTAAGTATGTACACCGACATTATCGAATAGACCGGCTAATACTATCTCATCTGCAGAAGCTACAACGGACCATATAGATCTAGTCCGGAACACAAGGGCTCCAGTCAACGGAACTATAGTCGTGGTCCGTATTCTCCAGGATATGATTTTGAGGACGAATCCCATTCGAAATTTATGAGCGAACATTCACGAGCTAAGACCATATACGAGCACGATGTCGAGGATTCGGAAGTGCTAAGGGCGGAGTACAGACGACCCCGCGATGTACTGTTATCGTTAGTCGGCGACTTCATTTGCCGCGCAACTTCCCGCATTCAGGAGCTTAATAAAAAAACTAATCAAGAGGGTAAAATTATTGAACTGTTGGATATCCGCTCGCACGTCGTAAGTATCCTTACTATACAGTGCTATTTATTAAGAAATAGATACTTTGGGGTCGACGTCTATTGTTTTTTCCAATGTCTACTTTGAAAAGACAAAATCTCTTCTGAAGGCGCCTAATTTTATGCAACCAAAATAGCTTCTTAAAACAAATCTCGCTGAATATTGTTGCTTTGGCTTCCGTATTTTTGTTTTCATTTGTGTGTGATGTATTTAACTGAAGAAAAAGTTGGTACTGTTAATTGGTAAAGTGCCAGAAACCGTTTAAGAAGCGAAAGAGATTTATGTTCTGGGAAGCCAAAGCAACAATATATTAAATTTAATCAATATGACAATCAGATCTTTTAGGCGCCTTCAGAAGAGATTTTGTCTTTTCAAAGTAGACATAGGGGAAAAAAATACACGTAAATCCTTATGTCTACTTCTTAATAAATATCACTGTATGGGACTTTACGTATAAAACGAATTCCAGCGACTGGCAGATATCGCACACAGCTTATTGAAAGTGTCACCTTACGATCCCGAATCAATGGGTTGCCGTGGTTTACAGCATTACATGACTTACATTCTATCGTCGACTGAATGGGCGAACGATGCCATGAGACCAGCTCTTGTTACAATACTGAGGAGGTTGGATAAAGTTTTCCAAAAGATATCTAAAAAACCTTCAATACGGGTACACAATTCGCATCATTTGCTTGTGAATATTTCAAACGTTTGTTATAGCGGAATACTGACTGGGATGCTGCTGCTGGTTTGTTGAAAGGAATATACGACACAATGGTAAAATACCCTTACATTATGCATTGGCAGCACATTAAAGCTCTTATCAATACATGTCAGGTAATTGTGCTTGTTTTATTTTTAGATCTTTATTACAATGTGCTTCTCCAAAACTTTCACTTTGTTGAACTGACACAATGCAGTACACTACCAGTAGGTCCCAAACCTGTTTTACATGCTGAAATTTATTTCATGAAAGTTAAAAGTGAAATAACTTTCCAGAAATTTTTGAAGTGATACATGTGCTTTACATATTATGCTGCAATTCTATTTCACTTTTTCATGAAATTTTGCTAATACCAACAAAAAAAAATGTTTCACGCCCAAACCGAAAAGTTGAAAGGTATTTCACTTTTAAGAAAAGCGCTTTCATTATATCAAAATGGCAATTAAAGCTTACTGTGACTATAGCCAATGGAAAAATGGATTCACTAGGTTTTAAGGTCAGGTGAATTTTGAGTTTCTAATGAGATCTGTGATTAAATAAATAAAGAAGTCTTGCACGAATTGAATGGTAAAAAATTCGGGTCGTTGATTTCCTTGTTTTTCGGTTCCCGCCGTAATCCGCATCACAGAATGCTTCAAGATCATCTCCACGATGTTTGTACAAAATTCCATAGTTCTGGGTTTCTTTTATGTACCTACTTCAAGAGTCGTTTCACCATTGCCCATTCCTTTACGCTAGGAAAGTGTAGGCTTCCTGGGAAATAAATATTGACATTTTGGTGACAAGTGTTTTTCGGGTAATTGGACCCTGCTGAATCCGAATTTGCCTGTCACCAGTTCGAAATTCGGCTGCTAAAGTCCCAAATCAAGATGGCGGTCAAAATAGGGAGTAAAATTCACTATACTTACAATATAAAATTTCTTGTTGTTGTTAAACAAAGATATTATCATGATTTTTATCTAGTACATACGTTTTGCTATTTATTACCTTAAATCATGTCAATATATATGATTTAAGTTTATCTTATAAAAAATCTGTAACCAAAAAAATCAAGATGGCGGTCAAAATGGCGGTAGAAACTTTTTTTAATTGAAAACTCCATATACTGCGTGTCCACTACCAGGTACAGAAGCAAATGTTACCTGCGTATTAGGTACATTATTTTTTGCAAGTTTTATTTTTTATACAATATACAGCTCTTTTTTCAGTCTCTAGTTTGGTACCCAAACTCTTCCTCGTGTAACAGACTGTGGTTGGAATAATGATGTGGTTGCAAACGGATGCTGTGCACCAGAAGTTGCCAGTGTAAAGGCGTTTGCACCAAAACGAAAGCGAAGAAATCTTCGGATTCAAGTGACGAATCCGAATAAATGTTATAGGCCAGTAAATCAAGGAAATTTAACAGGGGTAACCCAAGAATTTTGGGTACATTTTTTCTTTTGCCCCTCGATTAAAAGAGTCTCTAAAGAAAATCCCGAGTTTGCGCACTCTGGAAGTTCACGGTTTTTCCGCCATTTTAAATTAGATTTTTTTAAACGCTCATACCACGCGTTCTACTTATCATACAGCGAGCAAACAGGAGTCTTTGGATTCATCAGGATTTATATTTTTTGTAAGTGTAAGAAACACCGTCCGATGCGTCAGAAAAAAGTTACTGACGCTCAAAATTATAAAGAGAGCTTCGTAAACTTTTTGACCGTAGCTCAAAAACGGTGAATCAGAGGTTGAAACTGCCCGAAATAAACAGGGAATATCGATGTAGAACGTACAATCAAGTAGGTAATAATGAAGAAAAGAGTAAGCCAGAAGTGAGAAGCCTAGAAATCATTATTCAAAGTCAAAAAGTAATTCGTAATTTTTGATACCTACCGAAAACGTCCTTAGAACTTGTAAAATATATCCGCAATAGCGTCAGCAAAATGTCAAAAGCAAAACAGCAAGAGAAAAATTTCGTTAAACTAAAACTCCTAAAAGGCAGACAAAAATGCAGTTGCGGATTTTCCATAAGGCACAGTAGGCCCGGGCCTAGGGCGGCCAATCGTCACTGATGAAAATAACTCAAACTCAGAGTACGTACCTGAATATTTTAAAGTGAAAAGTCGTTGCTCACTGCAAGAGTCTATTATAGCAGTTAGCAGCTGTTATAGTTAAGAGTTAACTAAATTAAAATTTCTGAATCGATTTTAAAAGTTGGCAATAAAGTAAATTCATTATTGTAGTTTATATGATTTGTACTAAGACAGGGGCGGGTACGTGGCCTGGGGCCTAGGGCGGCCAAGACTGCAAATCCGCCACTGCAAAAATGTAAATGGTTGTATCAAAGAGTAACCATAATTACTCTTTGGTTGTATGTCGTTTTGTATAAAGAAGTGTATGTGCCATTAAAAAAACCTCTGCATGACCTCAAGTCGCCGAACAAAGAACTATTGCAATAAGAAATCTATGACACTTAGGACAAAGTTACTACAGGACCAACTTACATCTAAACTAGTGGATTACAAAGTAAACACCTAGATGGCGTAAGAATTTTGAATTTAATACAGTGACTTTATAGAAACAGTGGCGACAATAGGAGTTCGGCCGCCATTTTGCGTCATAAAGTTGGCAACACACAATACACGTAGGCATGTGTGGCGTACACCGCAATATCATATTAGGGAGCAGTCAAATTACCGGCGCAGCGCGCGGTGGTTGCGTTACACATATTGTGAACGACTATTTTCTAAACGTTTTATTAGTATTTATTGGTCTAAGCAAAAGACGTATAATTATGATTTTCGCTACCATTGAGTAAGTCTAATTGAAAACATTTTTTGATCATCCCATAGGTCACACATCAGTGGGTTCAGCATCATATCTTTCAACTTTCACAGCCCCGCCGGAGTGGATGGTCCAGATTCCATCAACTGCTTTCTGAAAACCATCCTTTCAATTGCACGTCTTACTCTGCCTCGTCAACATACACTCTTCGCTGAATCCAACTTATAGAAATTGTTCGATGGGCTATTGCACTGCGAGTCGAATATGGTATCGCGTTTCACAACAATATCCTCAATCGCTGCCACATTGTCACACATATTAGGTTCCGCCATATTCGTTTTCAGCTATTTTTTGATGCCTTTGTCCTCCAATGCACGCGGAAATACAATTAGGTACTGAATTCATTGCCATCGAAACACAAATTTTTCACTGTCTGCCTCTGGCAGTTGACTGCAGAAGTCGCTAATGTCAGGCTGTCATCTGTCATGATACTATTTTTTAAGGAACATCATGACACCTGTATTTCAAATTTGTCAATCAGTGACGTTTTTAGAAGCGCGGGAATGCGCGTGAGCATATCTATTAGCGGAAACCTTAGGCGGAAACACAGCTTAAATAGTAAGTAAGCTGTGAAATTTGACGCAAAATGGCGGCCGATCTCAACGACCAATCAAAAATTAGACACTCTCTTGTCGCCACTGTCTCTATAAAGTCACTGTAGAATTTAAATTACGAGCGAAAAGAATTTAAATAAGAGTACGGAGAAGGTCGAAGGATATAAATTTATTTATTTATATAAATAAGAAATTTCAATTGGTAAGAAAATAAGTGCAAACAAAATCTTTTGCTCACTTAAAGTAAAATAAATTAATATATTACAAAACGCGGTATGTGGAGCGCCATTTCAGCCTCCATCTTACATTTTTCATAAAATAATAATAAGTGGGAAAACGTATATAATGGGGTCATCCCGCCTTCATTTTTTAATTCTGATCCACAAAGTACATTAAAAATAAAAAGACCCGTGTGTCCTCAATTTTTATTTGCGAATAAAATAAACCCAAAATAAATTATTGAAAAGCTGTGTTTTTAGTCCGAATTTGAAACGCTTCAGACTAAATACGTCACAAACCTACAACCAATCACGTAGAAGTGAGCTGGCAACCTTACGCAAGGGTCTGACGTTTGTCACATTTGACGTTTTGAGAGGGATGTTTAACTGCATCTAGCACGAAAGTGACAAGTGCCTGTGACAGATGACGCAAGTTATAAATGCCATTCTCCTGCAATATTGCCAAGTCGTTATGTCATCTGAATGGTTCTAGGAGCTGATGATTTATGGTTTCAGGTACACGCTTATTAAATTAGAACTGCGGAATTCAACTATACTGTAAACCCCCTTTATATGCTACATAAAAATCATGACACATTTTTGTTTTCAACAAGAAAAAATTTAGTTTTAGTCGCCATTTTGGCCGCCATCTTGATTTGAGGCCTTATCAGTCGGAATTCGAGATGGTGACAGGCAAAAGCGAATTCAACAGTGTCCAATTACCCTAAAAGCACGTCCAGCCACGTGAAGTGTCATCATCAACATTGTCATGAAGTTCACAAGGTGTCATTTTCACAGGTTACATTTACTAAACAAATTGGTGAATGTCTTATTCCAGTATCTAGGAGCTTGGCGTAGTCCATAAATGCTTTTTCTCAGAGAACGTACCGATCGCCATCTCACGGCTGAAGGTTTCACTGAAATCAATCCCTTCACGTCAGCCGCGTAGCGAGACGAAAATGCGCCCGTGGCGGAGATCGGTTATGCCGCCCCCGGTTTTTGCAATCATTCCCTGCTGAAGATAATTTATTTTGCAAATGTAGTATTATAATAGTATAAATAAAAAATAACTCTAATATTGGAATTAATATTAAGTTGCTCGGAAGTCAGAACGAAAGTCAGAACTTGATTTTCCGAGCTTTCAAGGCTGCGAACTCGTCCATTGCAGCGTTGAAATCTATTGCGTTGGTGAGCTCGTGTTCGATGAAGAGAATAGCCAAGTTTGATAATCTAAGTTGACTCATGGCTGAACGATGGTAAGGTGCCGACCGCGTAATGCGGCTGCTGGCCAGCAATGCCGCCCCTCCCGGGCTGCCGCCCGAGGCGGACCGCCCCCGTCTCGCTACGCGGCTGCTTCACGTTGTTGGCTACAAGACGCGCCTTGTAACGCTCCACTGGAACCATCAGCATCAATCACCTTGTTATCAGTCAGCCTAGGAACTAGGTCCCAAGTGTGATTTTCATTGAGCGTATTTACCTCCTCAATCATTGCCATTTTTCAATTTTTGACTGCAATCCAAACATTGGGGGAGTTGACAGATTTTTATGATATCCGATTGGCTAACAAACGCAGACCCTTCCCCTCCCTGACTTCCAAATTCAAAAAGATACATTGTGGACAACTGTATAATGACTATTAATGGCCCATTGAAGGTAATCACTAATTAGTAAGTTGTATTTGACATTTCATTGCGCACTTTTTGTCTCATATGTACTGTCTTTTAATCTCTCCCGGAGGAAAAGTAAATGTCCCTTAAAAAGCACATTGATTTAGTCAACGAAGAAGCAAAAATAATTTCTGGATTGTGTCAAGTTCATCTTCAACTTTTACACGAACACAATATACATACAAACACAATACTTGCAGAATGATTCTAAGATTTAAACTATTCTGCACAATGTTTCAGACGAATCGTCACAAGAACTTTGTATGTACATATTATATAGTTATTTCTTCATTCATTTTTGTACAATATCGCCCGACATTTTAGCCATTTTCACTGAAATCTCAGTTTCTGCACGTTTCTAATGAAAGAAAAATTTTAGACCTTAATAGTTGGCGAGAGTTGCCCTACAGAAGGTGTCTCGTCGGCTACCGCGGCACTTATGACCCAAACGCCACCGCAACATTTCTGCTCCATGGTGGTACGCCTCATCGCGTTGCAGATCCTTAATATACAGGTAGGAACGTGAAAAGTGAAACTATGAGTTTAATTTCCTTGTAGGACATGTACACTTTAGAGCAGGTATGCGGGGGCAGCTCAATTTTGCCCACACAAGATAAATCAGAAAACATGATCATGAACCTTATAATGCCGCTGTGTCTAAGAGTAGGTAGCGGGCGTAAAGGTAAGTTCATAAAATGTAACCGACAGTTACACGAACCGCATTGTAGATGTCGGAGTGATGAAACAATCTGATATTAGTTTCGCTCTACTTTTGGTTCTGCATTCTGTGAGTCCACCAAGCACCAAGGCTGCTATTAGCACAGGTCAGAATATAAAAGCAGCTACTGAAATGCGTGCTGGAAGTCTGACATTTACAGGAACTCGAGACACTAAGGTGACGGCTCGCATAAATACCTCACTCTATAAGGTCTCCTTTCTCGGTACCTTCATTTAACAATTAGCTATAAGTAAATCTGACAATGGATTGTTGCAGCTTTAAAGATAATGACGATCTGTTTCGAAGGAGAACTTGTCGCGGATTGGTCGAGAATTTCGCGCACCATGCGCGAACTCGGCAAACGTAACGAAGCGACCAGTTACCTGTGGGATTTTCTCGATTTCGTCGTCACGCATCGGACTCCGTTATTTATCCTGATGCAACCTTTAATTTTTCAAAAGGTTTCCGGTAGTTTTGCAACGACTGTCTCTCTGACAACTCGATTTTGCAGCTTGCGCAACCACCGATATCGGACTTCGAGCGTACTATGCACTCCAAGATCCGAGATAAAATTCGCAGCGTCGGATTGCCGTTGCCCAAAAGCCGGGGAGCTTTGCTAATGGAATTGGCTCACGAAATGAAGGAGCTGAAAGAAGAACTGGAAGATAGTGCGTTTCGGTTTAGTTTTCAATGCACTTAATAATTTTTCCTCTTAATTGTGTTTATTCCTCTTTAGATTATAAATGCATGGTTGTTCAATGTTGTAAGTAAATATGAACTAACTGTTATTAGCTTCAGAAAGCAGTACCGAGACCGGACGGAAACCTGAGTCTACTCATCCTACAGTCCAAATGACCAGCGAGGTTAACCAAGGGCGTCATCAGCGACCGTCGTTGATCGAATTTCTAACCGGGGGTGAACTTGGTAGTCGTCACGGATCGAAGGTCTTACCTGATCATCATTCAAGTATTTCGCATCAACCTACTAAGGGTATAATAACCAGTTCCTGTTAGTAAAAAAAAGATGGTGTAAGTAGCATACACTTGCAGAATCATCATCCAGTGCTAGTTACGGATCAACCTCCATACAAGGAAATGTCAGTATAAGTGAAGGGCCAGAAGCAGCACCTGATAATTCTGTTCCGAGTAATGTAGTGAATGGTAAGCTCACATGCTGCTTATTTCTTTGCCCCTTCCACTTGAATTAACTGGCGTTAGTTAATATCCATTAAGTGTATGCACGAGTCTTTGTTTCCTACCACTGTGTAAAATATTGATCAATGGATTCATCTTAGCTTTGTTGCCCTATTCATTGTGTGATTAACATTGTAACTGTTATGAAAAATCTGTTCACTCAGTTCCCACTTTACCATATATCAGTAGAACTGTCCATAAAAAAAGGCTGAGCATTAATTGAAGTAGTAGCCATTCTTAATATGTATTTTGGTAGGACCTCTGCTAGAAGTAAGAATCCAGATTTGCGAATATGGAAAACGTGTGGAAGCAACGTGGTAGCCGAAAAACCACGATTTTTCACTTTAATAATAGCTCAAAAAGTATGTTTTTTAAAAGAGACCACTCATAACTGTTCCAAGTTGAATAAATTTACGATATTTGGGGCCCAGAACTAGTTCTATACTATTTTTGGTTTCCAAAATACATCAACCCTTTCTTAGTTTCACTCACGTTTTGAGCTGAAATGAGTTGTACTAGGATAAAAACTTGTTAGCCCACTCAAAGAAGACCAAAAGCAACAAAGACAAAGATAAATTTTGGTATAGGTGCAGGTGAAGGTGTTTTAAACAACATACTAAAAGTACTAATGGATGGTGGTGGAGGTAGTGAGTGAGGGGGGGGTGTAAAAGTCCCTTTTTATAACATCGCTAACGTTTTAAACTTATTATCACCCAATTTAACAAGCTTGAATTTAAATATGTTTAAGAAAAAATTAAAAAGTGAATTGCTGCATTGTCGCATCCCAATCATGATGTAAGGAATTTGCAAAAACTTCTCTTCTTACTTTTTTTTAAAATTATTATATTGGTGCTATGTATGTATCAGGAATTTAAGTGCATGTGAGGGGTCGTGCATTTGCATTTGCATATTTTCGTGTCGTATACATAATATGTACAGGGTGTTTTTTTGGAAGCCTTAGTTAAACGTTTCTAGGAAAGTAAAATAGGTAGGTTTTTAAAAATTTGTACTTAGGAGTTACTCATTTTTCGATTTTTGTAAAAATTATGTTAACCTATAACATTAGGTGACGGATTAGTGTCGCTAGATTTGTTTAAAATTCAATTGTTATAAAATCATGGCCGACTACTAAAACGAAAATCCGAAAAAAATAGTTTCAATTCAATAAAATGGGAATAAGTCAGAAACTGTTAAAGATAGCTATAGGAACAAGTATTGTCCAAATATGCCCATTTCGATTCTTTGTCTCATGCAATAGTAAGAAAATGGTCATTCCATTAAAAAAAAACTGAGTTTTTAGTCTTTGAAGTTTCATAAATTTGGATCTCCATAGGTGCGGTCGTACGCAACGTAACTTTTTTTTAAATACATTAAAAGAAAGCCCTATTCATTCTCTATGCACTGATAAAAATGGGTTGCCATGACTACAACCGTTTTCATGTAATCAATTATCAAAGTACCATCAGCATCCGCCATTTTTTTTCTTGAAGTCAAAATAACTTAAAAACCATCAATGGTAGATATCGACATGTGGGTATCAAAAGAACTGAAATTTCACCAAAAATAGGGGCTGCCATTAAAAATAACGAAGTTACTATCTACTTCCGGTGTTTCCGGAAGTGCACCATTTTGCACCATCGATTCGGCCTTCAGCGTAACTCCTAAGTACAAATTTTCAAAATCCTACCTATTTTACTTTTCCAGAAACGTTTAACTAAAGCTCCCAAAAAAACACCCTGTGTAGGTGTTTACGCTTGCTACGTGTTTAGGCCACATGGAAAAGCAGTGCTTTCTCACTGATTGCGGTCCTTTTTCCACCTTTTGCGACATTTGTATTTTTGTATGTATATTTTTTTCCCCTTTTCTGTTTTTTTGGTGAAAATAAACATATTATTATTATGGTCGGTGTTTCTTATGAGAACTCAGGTCTAGCCTGGTTAACTAATCGCACGGATTAAAATCAAGTAACGATTAGTGTCTGTGTCTATATGTCGCTCGTCTAGTGAAGTTATGTCGGGCCCTTAAAAAAAATTAAAATAAAATAATAAAAAATAAAAAATTCACACACACACATTGGAAATCTAGGGATAATATGTAATGTAATGTATTATTATTATTATTATATATTTTTTCATAAATAACTCGTAAACGGTGGCCCATAGCAAAAAATATAATCTACATAAAATTATTCCCACAAAATATTCTATATACTTTTTCGCTGGGATCAATATTTAAAAAGATATTTAAAGGGAAGAAAGGTAATAATATTGAACTCTACCCATAACGAATGTTATAGTTGTGTATTAACTCACTGAACCTGAACGAGTGAGCCATGTGAGCGGAGTTCTCCAAGTCTATTGGAACAATCTGACTCAAGCATGTATAGGTAAGGGGGGACCACAGAGTTCAAACCCTCCCCATACATGAAAAGAGAGAGATCAGTAGCAATCTGCCAAATCAGTACAAAATTATTAAATTATATTTCCCTATGTTCGATTTTAAAAAAAACACATCAATCTATGAGGTGTGCGCGGTTCACATTCCCAAATCGTACAACTTGTGTGACTATGAACAGCAACTGATAGTCTTTATGATGAAGAGCACTCGGTAAGATTTTTTTAAAGAAGCCGTGTGAAGCCATAGAAACTTTAGGATAAATTTTTCTTAAACTTACGATAACTTGACTTCACATGGCTCGCGCTGACATCGCAATTCATTGTGAACCAACCTTCAATTATTTGTAGGTCATGTGCACCTAGTATTCTACTAATTTCATTTATTCAATACATAAATGAAGAAAATAAGAAAATAAACACCGAAAACAATTACAATAAATGTTGGAAGTGTCCTCCTTGGTATTCTAAGCAATAACCTAACCGATTTCGTAATTAAATTGGACGGCGGTATTTTCAAAAATGTGACAGCTGTCAATTGTATCTACTACTCATTTGAACTACTCAATAGATTGATGTGTTTTTTTAAAAATCGAACATAGGGAAATTACATTGCATGCAAACTCCTATGTTCGCATTTAAAAAAAATTCACTGTATATGTATTTTATACACTATCCAATAAAAGACAATTTATTATTATTATTATTATTAGTTATTATAATGTCTTTAGTTTTTTCGAATCGAGGTCGAAGGTTCTGAATCATTAAAAGCGAAGTATGAATCGTAGAAATTGACAAAATCTGAAGTTGCTGTGAATGTTTACAGGCGTACGAGAAATGCAATGAGCTTTTCTTCCCTAATATCAAGCAATTGCTAGGAATCTTTGCGACTACTCCCGTCACAACTGCAAAGAGAACATTTTCATCCTTAAAACGAATCAATATAAAATTTGAACCGGGCACCACGGAGCTTTGATGACCTACCCACCTACCCAATGAGGATGGACCAAAGGAAACAATGGCATCCTTTTTCTATTCTATTCACAGGGGAGCCTGACCAGGCAGCACTTAGGCACACCCAAAGGTTCATTGTGCCTACCCCCTTTCTTTCGCAATTTGGTTCACAGCACAGCCCATTCCTCTCAATAAACTATCAAGGACTTTGCTTACCGTAAGTTCCTTCTTCCTCCCCGGTTCCAGATAGCTGCCGCCAAGGAGCTGATGTCTGTCTCTGATCAAGGCGTCGCAGTGACAGACCACATCAGGGCCGTAGCCAAAGAGGGGCAAGAGCAGGCCTTGAGACCCACTTTGCCCGCTCTTGAAAATTGCTTAATATGACACAATGTAGCATGCTCATAAATGATTAAACATTTATTAAAAAATTTATCAAAAGAGGAGGTAGAAAATTCCAACCAATTTAAGTGGCGATATTAATTAAGAAAATGTTTTAGGTTGAAAGATGGATTTAATAGTTTGTTTTCTGAGTTAGGTTCATGGTGTGTTTCCCATGTTGTGGGCGCATAAATGATATACATATTGTAACGTAAATTTAATTACGTTTAAAATGGATTAATTTATCACAGTAATTATTATTTATCACTTACAATCGCGCATCGAAGTTGGAACTGAACTTGAACCACAACTCGATGTGCTTATGTAGCAAACAAGATTTCTTTCTACAATATTCTGGGGTGCTCAAGGACGCTTCAGAATGTTCTAGAACAAACATGTCATATTTCCATTCCACATCCGCCTTCGTTCTTTATCGACGATGACTAATCTTTTATGGCGCCTCGATGTCCATCGCGATTTCTGGAATATTCGCTACAATATATTATCACTTTAATGATTTTTTTAACCACCTGCAATACTGGTACCTGGTACCTCTAACTTTTATGACAGAAATCTTTGTTTTGGATCCAGGGAACCTGATCTCAATGATTATCAGCCCGCCTGTTTGTGCACTTATTTTCCGCCAAACCACTAAACCGAAAATAACTAAACCTTGTACGTGTTCTAGGCGTCAGAGGAAAAGCTGAAAAGCTTTCGAAAATGTGTTTGTTATTTTTATTTATTGAATAAATAAATTAACGTTACCTATGCTACCAAATTATATGGAAACTAAATTTTGTAAGAGCAATTAAACCAAAACCACTACTACGTGGGTATTTCCAGTGCAACCTACTCACATAGATCGACAGATTTTGACCAATTTGATGGATGCCAAAATTAATTGTTGATAGTTGCACATTTGGAACCTATATAGCTTTCATATCGCGAAAACCCGAAGTCGATACGAGGCCTTCTTCCCAAGAAAAACGTAACATCAGTAATAATATTGTGCCCAAAAATATGTTGACACAACTTGGGAATTGAGCAATCGAGTTTCCCAAAAAGATTGATCCATAAATAACGATTTCACATGCTTTGAGTATAAAAATATTTTGGTCACCAAAAATACACATGTATCATTTCTTGGTCACTGAGTTTGATCTTTTTCGCAGAAAAATTGGTGCATAAATAACGATTTGGATCGATTTAGGGCAAAGTTAATTTGTGATAGTTGGAATCTATAACCTTTCGTATAAGAAAGTGACCTGAAGTCGATACGAGGTCTAGGGACTGAGCTATAGCACGGAACGACAGACAGGCGGACGTAATTGTGAAAACATAAGCACGCCACTTTCGTGGGTTACGCTATAAACGAATTTCTTCAGCGGATGGCATCTGCACGGCACACAGCAAATCATTAATATTTCGCTCGCCCCCTCTGGAGATTTATTTGCCCGCTCTTAGAAACTAATCTGGCTACAGCCCTGGACCACACGCTCGGTAGTTTGATCTGGCTCGCCACAGAACCAGTACGTGGGCTCGCCCAACGTTAAGCGGTGATCTTCCTAATTTAGCTTCTATTCAGTTTTAGAAGCTTAGAAGGCCCTGGACAGTCTGAGTGGGTTGCTTGTTGGCCCTGACAACGGAGGGAGCAATTCCTAGGGTAGGCTGGGTCCCGACGAAGACCCCACCACTGCCGTTGCGACTCAGCTCGTCCCCCTTTTCGTTGCTCCCTATTCCGCAGTGTCCTGGCACCCAAATCAACCTTACCCTATTAGACTCACTTAATCTATGTAGAGCTTGGAAAAACCTGTCTGATGCTGACAGGGCTCTCAGCGCCGCCTCATTTTCACTGTATATGTATACAGTGTGTTCATTTCAAAAGTACCCACACAATAACTTTTGACTTAAGGTGATTATTGCTTTGAGTGGAAATACTGATTAGAAATCGAGGGGGAAGTTCAAAAATGGTTTCTAGAGAATTAGCTAGAAGGTACGAAATCAATTGTAAATTTTCAAATCCCGCCCCCCCCCCCCTCCGCAGAAGAGCCGGCGATGGTATACTAATGCCAGTGAAAAGCAACCCAGTGTCACCTAACTCCATTTTTAGCACCATGTGCCTATGCACAACTGAGTGTGGGATGCGATGCGGCAAGAGTTGCCTGCTCCAGCGTCTGCGGTGTATGCTTCGGTTTAACCAAGGAACCTTTACACCCTCTCATCCATCAGTACTTTTAGTACAATATTTAAGACACCTTCACCTACAACTATCCCAAAATACGCGAATACACGAATCATTTCCTCTATTTTTCCTTCATTGAGTGGGCTACAGAGTTCAGAAAATGTAATTAGGTTTATTTTGAACGCAAAACAGTGATTGATCGTAGTCCCATGTAGTTCATGGTAATATGTTTATTGTTTTAAGGATTACTTTCACCCATTTGTTGCATACCACTGCTTATTCTTTGACTGAATTGAGTACTTTAGGTGTGTTGAATGTCGCATGTTTCAGATCGTTCCCAGCAATCTTCCATTAGTGATGAACATGGCATACAAAAAACTGATTCACAACATAAGGCACATAAATTACGTTTTGTTTCTTCTGTAGAACTTAGACACTCTTCAGGTAACTGTCTTCCTTTTGTACATATATTCAAGTATTTTTCTCACCAGCTGTAATTGTCGCAATATTTGAAATTTGCGACAAGTGCATGGTTGATGCTTTTATTATAGATGATTACTTATATAGCTGTAAATTCCGCAGGAGAAACCTCCACAACGCCTTTAAGTCCGGGAAGTCCAGCGGATGATAGTTCCGGCGAGTTGCACCCGAACAAGCCGCGCCTTCAAAGAGTCAAGGTTCAGAGTCGTAAAACTTTTCGATTGCGCAAGAGTCGCAAAAGTCGCATCGAAGTTTCGCACATTAATATTGAACCAGAAGAAATACCTGCAGTGACCACGCCATCCCAGACGACCTCGCCCACAACTATCCTCTCCGAACAAACTCCGGCAGAGCTATCGGTTACGTCGATTCCACAGCAGGTCTTTGAGCCTAACAAACTGAGAATATCCTTTCGCTCTAAACCTACTGAGGGATCGTGGGACGAAGATAGCGCAATTTCTCACACATCAAGCACGTCAGGCTACAGGGAATCCTACCCCGTAATGCAACTTAAGGAATCCTTAGACTCGAGCCCCAAACCTTGTCCCCCACTTGCTTCGCCAGACATTCACGATCTGCCCTCAACAAGTAGCGCGGCGACCAATTACATCCACGGTGACAACAGCTCGCCGGATTGCTCTTTAAATGAAAATGGAGAACGTACAGCTCTATTAAGCCCAACGGAGCGTTCATCGTCCCAGCATTCTCTACTTATGATTTTTGACTCGCAGGATGAAACCACACTGATATAAATCCTATGGTTTATAACTAATGTCAATTATTTAATTGGAGTTTGTTCTTGCAAGAATTAAAAACACTACAATTAAAATTGTAAAAGATATAAATTAATAATAAAGCATCCCGTTAGTTATACAATTATTATTTATGGTCAATATGTAATCAAACGTCCGATTTTCACAAAAAAAAAACAAAGGTAAAGGCTAAATTCCCGCAAAATTTCAACTCACTTGCATCAAAATTGCAAAATTTCCCGGTCGATCCCAGACAATTTTTTTTTCCGGCCTCAAAAAAAGGCAGTTCCTTTTTTACCAAGAATCGACTGCACCAACATTTCTCGGGAGAACACTTTTTCTTATTAATTTTGGTGCGTAGAATCCAAAACAATTCGTACTTTTTCGATCAGACTTTTCAATCAAAAGTTTCGAAAGAAAATTCAAAGGGCTGTAACTTTTGTAACCTTTGGATAAGTTTGTCGACAAGTAACAGGTGTAGTATTAGGAAATGAAACACCTCCTCGCACATCATATGATCCCGATACAGAATGGCAAATTTTTAAATCGAAATTAAGCTTTGAAATAACTCTCATAGTGATAGAAAAAGACCTCTTCGTGAATTCTGTTCTCCTAGTAGCAAGACACCTTTTACGTAAGTTTGTCTACAAAGAACAGGTGTATTTGGGACTGACCTCCTTTCACATCATATCTTCCTGATACCTACCAAATTTGTAAGTGTTTACGGCAAAGTGCGAAGGACCAGGCGCTTATTGTACTGTAATCTTCCTATCAGTTTTGTTATTGGGGAGGAAAATAAAGTACTTCTGTAAATAATTTTTATATTGAAAACTGTACAAGCAAAATAAACGCATACTCTGTTCCGAGTGAATCTTGAGAGTAAATGCAGCCCATGGTTAGCTCAGAAATCTGGTATCAGGAGAATATAATGTGCGAGAAGATCGAAGATTAAAATAAAATTTAAGTGAGGTTAGGTTAGCGTGCTAGTTAGGTTAGCTCAGAAATCTGGTATCAGGAGAATATAATGTGCGAGGAGATCGAAGATTAAAATAAAATTTAAGTGAGGTTAGGTTAGCGTGCTAGTTAGGTTAGCTCAGAAATCTGGTATCAGGAGAATATAATGTGCGAGGAGATCGAAGGTTAAAATAAAATTTAAGTCAGGTTAGGTTAGCGTGCTAGTTAGGTTAGCTCAGAAATCTGGTATCAGGAGAATATAATGTGCGAGGAGATCAAAGGTTAAAATAAAATTTAAGTGAGGTTAGGTTAGCGTGCTAGTTAGGTTAGCTCAGAAATCTGGTATCAGGAGAATATAATGTGCGAGGAGATCGAAGGTTAAAATAAAATTTAAGTGAGGTTAGGTTAGCGTGCTAGTTAGGTTAGCTCAGAAATCTGGTATCAGGAGAATATAATGTGCGAGGAGATCGAAGGTTAAAATAAAATTTAAGTGAGGTTAGGTTAGCGTGCTAGTTAGGTTAGCTCAGAAATCTGGTATCAGGAGAATATAATGTGCGAGGAGATCGAAGGTTAAAATAAAATTTAAGTGAGGTTAGGTTAGCGTGCTAGTTAGGTTAGCTCAGAAATCTGGTATCAGGAGAATATAATGTGCGAGGAGATCGAAGGTTAAAATAAAATTTAAGTGAGGTTAGGTTAGCGTGCTAGTTAGGTTAGCTCAGAAATCTGGTATCAGGAGAATATAATGTGCGAGTGAGATCGAAGATTAAAATAAAATTTAAGTGAGGTTAGGTTAGCGTGCTAGTTAGGTTAGCTCAGAAATCTTGTATCGTGATAACGTTCACCGAGTTGATTGAAGGTTAGGTTAGAGTCGTAGTTAGGTTAGGTCAGATTAGTTTGGGCGTTTTAAATTTTTACAAATCTTGAATCTAACCTAACTCACATGAAACTTAGCTCACCGATTTAAAATTCTTATTTATTGCGGCCGTACTCTTATGGCGATTTAACTCGTGTATTGCGAACAGATACTTTATTAAAATTTAAAATCGTCAAAAAGGTATACGTCCGTTTACCCGCCCTGTCCTTTGGCATTCCAAAATGCTATGACGCAAAGGAATAGGCTATAATAAAGGAGCGAAATGTTTAATTTTCGAGTTTCGTGGTGTACTCCTTTGACAGCGAAAGGCTCAAATCCCAAAATGTTTATAGCCTTGCCCGAGTTTTTAAAATAATCAAAGCAGAATACATTGTGCTGACATCTGTCTTTATTATTGGGGACTAACATTTTATCGCTAAATGCAGGACACTTTATTACCACCATTATTTTAGTTGGAACTTACACCTCAAAGATGTCGCCACACTAATTTTGTAATGTACTTTATGAAACTAACGTTAGATGTCAGAGCGCTGTTTTTAAAAACCATAGATATATTAAGTTTTAACCTCAAATGCATAATGAATGTTTGTTTATTTTTTAGTCAACAATTAAACTTTGTTATCATTCCTTTCTCGCTTACAGGTTTAAATTAGGGAACTGGATACTGGGAGTGACAGGAAAGCGGCAGACTCAACCTTTGCGGAATATGATACTGTTCGCTCTGGGTCGTGCAATCGAAGACATGTAGTTCTCGATGGATGAGAAACGTTAGCATTGAATTCAGACAACACAAATTGAAAAGGGAAATGTTTTGTAACCAAAACAGGAGGACACCGTGGAGAACTCGCAGAAAACCCATCTAATGCAATTCAAACTTCTCAAGGTTGAAATCGGAACGATTACAGGATTGCAGCAGCTGGCGATGGTGCGAAGCTATTCTTAAAAGAATTGAGCCTAGAGTTTATTTGATAGAACTACGGTTATAGAAGCGGTAGTGAAATTGGTAGCGAAATAAGGCAAAAGTGTTACACAGTTTGCAATCAAGAAAAATGCGTCATTTGTGCGATCTTCGTGTGAAAGTTGTTGTAAAACGGTTCAGTTTAATGTACCTGTTATTGAAATTGTTCTTCCAAGGGCTTTAAATAAACTCCTATGCATAAGAAGTTACGAATTGCAAAATAAATATTTTCTGTTCATTGAGCATGATGTGTTGCCTACTAACCAGGCTACACAAATATCCAGTGCCCATATTCAAATTAGGGATTTGCTTGAATCTCCCCAATCTGCCGTTTTTATTGAGGTAAGGAGGGCCTCCACGAACGAATGGCCCAGGGCCCCGAAAAACTTAAAAACGGCACTGCATTTAAGGAATAATAAGTGCAACGTTGCTATTAATCGCATAAATTCAAATAAAATTTTAAAAGAAGGTGCGTACGTGGCGACATCTCAACTAGACTTCTAAAACTATAATTGATAGAAAGTGTATCGATTGCCATGGAGATGGCGCACTAGTACTTATTGTATTTAATCTATCTATTCAAAAACCGGGCCTTTAAACTACAATTGCTCTACAGATCTTGCAAGACTCCGTACATTTTGAACTGCCATTTATTCAGACTTCTCAATCAAGTTATAGACTAGAAACAAATTCAAAGGGCTGTAACTTTTGAACTAGTAGCCCAATCTTGGAACTGTTTGAAATTATGGATTCTACAGGCCACATTCTATAAGAACATTTTTTTTCCGGGACGATCTGAGACAATTTTTTTTTTCGGGCCTCAAAAAAAGGCAGTGTATAACCTTCCTTTTTTACCAAAAATCGACTGCACCAAAATTTCTCGGGAAAACACTTTTTCTTATTAATTTTGGTGCGTAGAATCCAAAACAATTCGTACTTTTTCGATCAGACTTCTCAATCAAAAGTTATAGACTAGAAACCAATTTCGAAAAAAATTCAAAGGGCTGTAACTTTTGAACTAGTAGCCCAATCTTGGAACTGTTTGAAATTATGGATTCTACAGGCCACATTCTATAAGAAAATTTTTTTTCCGGGTCGATCTGAGACAATTTTTTTTTCGGGCTCAAAAAAAGGCAGTGTATAAACCTTCCTTTTTTACCAAAAATCGACTGCACCAAAATTTCTCGGGAAAACACTTTTTCTTATTAATTTTGGTGCGTAGAATCCAAAACAATTCGTATTTTTTCGTTCAGACTTCTCAATCAAAGGTTATAGACTAGAAACCAATTTCGAAAGAAAATTCAAAGGGCTGTAACTTTTGGACTAGTAGCCCAATCTAGGAACTGTTTGAAATTATGGATTCTACAGGCCACATTGTATAAGACAATTTTTTCCGGGTCGATCTGAGACAATTTTTTTTGGGGCTCAAAGAAAGGCAGTGTATAACCTTCCTTTTTTACCAGTTTTCCTAATTCGTAAAGCAAATACCGGAGTAGTATAGAACAACTTAAGACCTTCTGAAGAGACACCTCTAAAAAGCATTATGCGGGTCACTCTGTAATTGGGCGTAAGCCTATTGAGAGCCTAGTAGTAAGAGAGGGATAATAAATAAAAATAAATAAATAAATAGATAGAGACATTCGCACTGAAACTGACGTAGCCAATAGATATGTTTCATCCATCCAAACGTTCTATTGTTTTCTCTTGTGAATACCTTCCTTCAACACTCCTTTCTCCTCAAAAACGTAGTTCAACTCCTCTGCTCACATATTTATTTTGTTTTTTATTTATTATAATAGACCATACTACCATATCCAGTTGACAAAGATCCTTTTAACAATTTTATTTTGTAAAAAGTTTTATTTGTCTAGACTACTACCTTTTTATTTTATGTTAATTTAAAAACACATTTTACAAATAACTTCGACAACAGCCTACCTTGAGGAGAGGGGAAAACGGCGAAAATCGTATGATGGCATTTTCCGGCAAAATATCCTAAAAGATCGAGGAAAACCGTGTTTTTTGTTTTTTATGGTTCATTTCCGCAAACATGATTTTATTTTAACGAAACTTGGTTGAAATATACTTTGTTATGTTTCAAATAACTACACATTTTTTCAATATAAACAATTAAGAGGTTTCCGAAATATTCGCTTTTTTCGGCAAACAATTTTAAATTTCCCACTACTAATAGTTTCACATCAATTGAGAGATGGCGCTGAATAGTTTCTATCCCACGTGATTTGTGCTAAGCGTCTCCAGCAGCACAGATACCTATGTACATTAAATACGAGCGTGGGCCTTGCTTCGAATGGGACTAAAATACTCCTATCATTCTCCT